CCCCCCCCCCAAAAAAAAGAACCAAGCCCAGTTATATGAGACTGCATGTCCCCACCCTCCCAGCTCATCCGCGAGAGCCGACGCAAGTTCAGGCTTCTCATCACTTGGCCATTTCCCGGTGAATGACCTCACGTCGTCGTTCTGGAGGATCAGGGTGCTTCGCAGCGTGGGTGCTGCGGCCGCGGCCCGCCCCTAGGAAAACGCGCCTCATCTAGGGACGGATTGGGCTCCGCGGGGGCCAGACACACGCTATTTTTAAAGTGTGATCATATTCGGTAGGGTGGGGGTGAGTGGCATCTCCACAACTGGAGGCTTCAGCCAGGGCACAGCGCTTAACCCCTTTTTAACGAGGCGTCTTGCTTACATGATCCACAGGGTATTTAGAGTAACCCAGCAGTGCGTAAGCAGGGCAAACCCGAGTGTCCCCCCACCCCCCAAGCCTTGGTTTGGGGTTTGATGAGCCTGAAACGAGACCTTCTGAGCAGAAAGGTTCTATTGTATGCAGAAGCCATATTGATGCTAAGACTGGGCTGCCAGATTTGCAGTCAGAAATCCCCGTGGCTGTGGGGGCTGATTCTCAGACTGGGCTGCCAGGTTTGCAGTCAGAAATCCCCGTGGCTGTGGGGGCTGATTCTCAGACTGGGCTGCCAGGTTTGCAGTCAGAAATCCCCGTGGCTGTGGGGGTGATGCTCAGATTTGGTGGCCAGGTTTGCAGTCAGAAATCCCTGTGGCTATGGGGGCTGATGCTCAGACTGGGCTGCCAGGCTGTGTGTGTGTGGGGGGGGGGGGTTAACTGTGAGAGAAAACAGCCCTCATGAGCTATAGGGTAGTTTCCCAAATTTCCCCTTTCTACTAAGGGAATTACACTGGATCAAGGACATTGAATTTAAGATATTGGGAAGCACTACATTTATTTCAGGGTGATGAAGTGTAATCATGTTAGCTTCCCTTTCATTGGGGCTGCACACACTAATGCAGCGATTTGGGAACAATTGAGTTGCCAGCCAGCCATCTTCCTCATCCTGGTTGGGGACACAGGGGACTTAGAGGCTGTCCCAAGCAACACAGGGCACAGAATATGTGGCTAATTATGAATGGGGATGAAATTTGCTGCCACAGAAGTGCACAGTTAGGCTTATAGCCTCTGCGTGCTGTGCTCTCAAGCACAATCGTCCAGCTGTCATACATGTTGTCTACTCGGACTGGGCTGCGGTAAATCAAAAGCCGGTTTCATCAGTAAAACAAAAAAAAGGGAAATTTCTTGCCCCGTTTCTGGCTTTTGACATATGAAGTGAGATGAGCTGGCAAGCCGATTTAAAGCACGCCACTGAGCTCCTCCCGGCGTGCAAGGTTAATGTCAAACTCAAATGCCTTTCCCCCATGCCGGGGTAAGGAAATAGCCGACATAAATTTAAATTCCTGCCCTGGCCGGCCGTGTCTCACCAGCCGAAGGTGTAACGTAATAGCGGAGCTGGGCGACGGCGCGTGATGGAGCAGGTGACTGTGCCAAGGTGCAGGAGCCTAGCCAGTCCTTTGTCGCTTCCTGTCGCGGTTAAACGAACAGCTTCGGCTTTTTAAAGGATGAGCCCTTCCTCCGCTGTCCGTCGGAATGGCTCCGTCTGACGTCTGGGCAGTCACCGGAGGTGGGGGTGCGGGTGGGGCGGGTGGGCATCAATGTCAAATTTGTCGTCATTGTGCATGTGCAACGAAATGAGGTCATTGGCTCTCCTAGTGCAAGCATCACACGAAGTATTAACACAATAGAGTACAATAAATAACGTTTACATTAAACATTAGTGCAGTAATTATGTTTGCAATCTGCTACTTGCCTCACTTGTAAGTAAAAGAAAATGGGCAAATGAAATTACAGGCAGTCCGCAGGTTACAAACGAAACTTTAAGTTGAATTTGTAGGTAAGTCAGGACAATAGTAATACTATATGCAATAATGATAATAATAATACAGTAATAACTGAAGTAGCTACATGCAGTGCTGTACTGCACCACAAGCCGATAAACCCCTGAAGTTGTGGAATGTTTTCACGAAGATCTGTGTGCATTTATTATGAGCCACTGTATTTAACCTGAATGTTTAATATAACAGGCATCATGGCAGTATGTTCGTAAGTACGACTTGTCCGAAGGTTGGACGCTCTGCCCCTCTTCTTTTGACTTCTCGTCGAACCCTCTGCCCACACAGGAGAACAGGTTCAACCTGGAGGTGGTGGAGCACATTTACAAGCACAATCCCATCCTGAGTTACACCCAGAGCCCCCTCTACGCCCCGCTGCTCCCCTTCCCCTACGGCAGCTCGGACCACGTCCGTGAGTCGACCTGCACGCCGCCGCCCTCTCAGAATACACACGGCTATTTCCACGGGCGTGACCTCACGCGCGCTCCCATATTGCCGCGCCAGGACGCCCGCGGCGGTGCTGGCCCGCTAGGGCCCGTGTCTAAATGGAGGGACGCGTGCCAGCCCGCTAAATGTGTCCCGATCGGGGAGAGGCCCGCGTGTGACCGGAGGCTTGAGTTTCAGCGTTCGCGCTTTCTGGTGCCCCACAGAATTAACTCGGCGCTCGGCTCCTGCTGTCACCACACCCGAATGAGATCGGTCATCGCTTTATTGCTGTCGGCACTAAACGAGAGCAGGATGTATAATTATAAAAGGAAAGGAAAAAAAACTCCAGCACACTTTGCTGCTTCTGTAATCTTAATGTAGAAAGATGACCGATCTGCAATTTCCTTCAGGATTAACAAAGTATCTGTCTCTGTCGGTCACCATGTCTTTATCGATCTATCTATCGATCTATCGGGATTATTAATAGGTTGCTGCATTGTGTAAGTGAATTTTGAGCTGACCCCCCCCACCACCACCCTTGCCGTTCCAGAACACGCCGGCAAGGGCTACGGCACAGTGCGCGAAGAGGCCGTGCGCCTCTTCAACTGCCTTCAGCAGCTGGAGACGGCGGCCGAGGCCGTGCCTCTTATCCAGGGCGTGCTGCAGACGTGCCTGGACCTGCGGCCGCTGCGGGACGAGGTCTACTGCCAGCTGGTGAAGCAGACCAGTGGGGCGGCCTGCGCCTGCGTGCCCCGCCAGCTGCGCTACTGGCAGCTGCTGACCTGCATGAGCTGCACCTTCCTGCCGGGACCAGCCGTGCTGAAGTACCTGCGATTCCACCTTAAAAGGTGAGCGGCAGACTCGTCCCCCGCGCTTCAACCCCGCCGTGCCCTCGGGGGGGGTGCCACGTTGGCTGAAAGGCCAGGCTTTTGTAACCTGCCTCCAACAATCCATAAGAAGGAGCTCTGCTATAATTGCCTCCTATCAGTTTATCAGGAGGTACCTCGCATGACTGCCCGGCCCTGTAGTCATTCAGTGAGGCTTCATTCGCTCCCACCTCTGGCTCGCTTTCTCAGCATGTGCTTCACGGCCAAAGACCTGAAACAAAAGGGGTGACCTGCTTTAAGTTCACACCCCATGTCATGAGATACACGTGAGCCGCTGTCTATAGTCCTGGGAGGGACAGAAGCCAGCCTATGGAATGTTGGACATTGTGAGATTCAAAGGGCCCAAAGAGCGGCGATTGTTCTGCTCCCACAGCTGTGTGGAGGAAAGGCAGCGGATCCCCGGGGCAGAGGGTGTAGGCAGACAGGTGGGCGAAGAAGAGCAGCTAAGTGTGAACCCCCCCCTTTTTGGTGGAGCGCTGCAACTTGCGAAAGTGATTCTGTACCCCTGCACCAGGACAGCAGGGGCGCCACTTATACCTCCGGCACGAAACTGCTTCCTGTTCGGAGCCGGGCCCCCTCGGGGGGGCGAGGGAGGGTCCGGGTAGATATGCCCCAAGGCCGGACGCACGGCGCAAACAATACAGATACACTGAGTGGAATTTCCTCTGTCCTTCCACAGAAACGAGTGATGATGTGGAGCATTTGGGTCCCACACACGCTCAGAAGCTCACTTTACTGCGAAGAGCGTAAATAGACTTTGTGTCATGGTGGTCTGAGGGACCTCCCTGCTGATAATCTGTTTCGGTTCCATGGTATTTCAGAATGTTTTAGTTAACTCTCATTTACCTTGTACGACTGGTTAACCCACAAACTGCTGAATAGTTTGCCCCCCTCCCCCCAGCGTAAGCCTATGCCTCTGTAATGCACTTTGAATTGTGCTGTACAAATCTACTTGCCTTGCCTAAGTCTGGCTCTATTATAAGGAGCAACAGCTCTGGATTCACAACTCTGTCTTAATGTCCTGTCTGTTTCATGTATATTTATTATATAAATTATACAATATTTATATTTATTTTCCTTTGCACTATGACCAGCAAGAACAATATTTCAGCTCTGCGTATAATGCATCATATATCTGAAGTTGATAATGAACGATACTTTGACTCTGCTTTGGTAAGGTTCTCCCCATAACCACCTAACCAGTCCCTTCCCAAATCCCGGCCCCAGGGTTCGGAACCAGAATCCGAACACAGAGATGGACAATTACGCGTCCTTCATCTGGGAGGCATTGCAGAAGACGCGCTGCCGGGAGTGCGTGCCGTCCTGGGAGGAGATCCAGGTGCTGATGGCTCGCCGGGAGATTCTGTGTCTGGTTCACTATCCCGGTCCCGGGTCCTGCAGGGTGCCCATCACCTCCCACACCACAGCGGACGAGGTGAGAGCTTGGGGGTGTCGGCAATCGGGCTCCAAAGAGACAGCGTTGGTGAAGGTCGCAATATTGAGTGTGTAGCTGAAATCAGACCTCTGGTGTGTAGTGGTATTCAAGATAAACAAACTTAGTAGTTAAACATCCTAACTAAAATTGAGTAGAAGGTTCGGGGCGACTGACAGACTGAATGATGCGACTTCACTCCTCCTTTCACTCATACTCCTGTTTCCCCTATGAACTGCTCCCGGAAGGTTCTTCGTAGTTACTCCCTCACACCAGGCCGCAAAGATCCCGCTTTCCTCGTTGTCCCACTTCACACATCCATGGTTCTTCCTCTGTGCTGTGCCCCCCCCCCCCCAGCTGGTGAAGATGGTCTCGGAGAAGTTGGGCATGCAGGACAGCCGAAACACCTTCGCCCTGTTCGAGCAGAACGCCCACCAGGAGCGAGCCGTCAGCGGCAGCACCATCATCGCCGATATCCTGACCAGGTTTGAAAAGTGAGTTTCCCTCCCCGTGGGCCGCTGATGCATGCTGGGATTGTGGCATCTAACAATATCCAAAGACCTTTTTGCAGAAAAGAGTGTTAATCTTAAGATTATGGTTGGACTCATTTGCTTAGTTGACTCTATCGTGGCAGCGATTTTAGACCTCGATACTAAACGAAAGCACTTGAAACTTGGAAAGACGTATCTCAGTGAATCATTGTCATTTCAGGTCTTACATTTGACGTTACTACAGTCACATGCTACATCCTTTCACCCAGTTGCTGTAAGCCAGTGCCATTGATGCAGTTGCACCCTATATTTCCAACCAGAATTCCGGAATGCTCACCTCTGAATCACCGAACGCTCACCTCGGTAAAACAGGTTCCGTCACTTTGGCGGCCTGGTTTACTTAGCGCGCACGTGCCTAGCGACCAGCTACCACAAGTGACACCTTAATCGTCAGCTTGGTGTTGGGCTAATTTGCCGCGAGATAAGCGCGACGAGAACAATGGGATCACTATTCCCCACGCCCCCCCTTTTTGAAAGGTGTGTAATACCTGGCACTGTAGTAGAGCCAACCGGCCAAACAAAAGGCATTGTGGTTAGTCATCAGTCAACAGACAAAAGCCGCGGTCAGGCCAGTCGAATAGTATCAGGGTATCACCACCATTGCCTGTCCCGCCGCATTTTCCTTACACGTCTACCCCCTCCCCGTAGCCTCGCCGCTAAAGATCCAGACCCGGAAAGCCAGTGGAGACTCTCTTTCAAGCTCTACTGTCTCCTGGATGCTGACAGCATTTCCGTCGACAGCATCGAGTACATATTCCTATTCGAGCAGGTAAGACAGAGCGTCTAAAAAGGCTGGATGTGGGGCGCCTGTCACTCGATTGAATGTATAACCTTTTAAAAGGTTACATATAATGCCAGGGGGGTTTCATAATCAGTCACAAGGGCGGTGGGTATAGGTGTGAACACCCAATCAACACTCATTTCGAACTAAGTCTGCAGAATGTTTTTTTTTTCTCTTCAGAAATACGGTCTATTTAAAAAAATAAGTTAGAGCGAGGTGTTTTTGTAAATTGGGTCAATGTCTTCTGATGGCTCCTCTGCTCATAAAGGCCGCAGCGGACTTTGTGGAAGCGAACGTCGTGCATACGGTTGTGGGAGCCTTGTTCTCTGTTCGCCCCAGTGCCATGAGATGATGGTGCGAGGTCAGCTCCCTGCCTCCGAGGAGGATCTGCAGGACCTGGCAGCCCTACGCTTACAGTGCCTCATGGGGGACTTCAGCACCCACTCGCCCTGCCCGCCACTGGACGAAGTCTTCCCCGGCAACGTGGTGGAGGCCCGGGTCCTGCTGGCCCTCAAGCCCCCCCCAGGCACCCCGTCTACAGGCCCCAACCTGCCTATGGGCTGTCCGCAGAGGTTTGCTGGCGGCTTCCTGGCGGGGGCGCTGTGGAGCCACACGGCGGCCCACAAGCAGAGGGTGGAGCAGGACCTGCGGCTGCACGGTCGGCTGAAAGAGGAAGGGGCGGCCGTGATGGGCGCCATCGTGGAGCGCTGGAAGGGATTGGCGGGCTACAGCAGGCGGGAGAGCATAGCGGCCTACCTTACCATCGCAAGGCAGTGGTCGGGCTTTGGTTGTACCCTCTATGAGGTGGACTTCTACATCGTGAGTGCACAAACCTCGTTAACCACATTAGACATTGATCTGTGGCCAGTCTGACGTCAACGTCTGCCTTTCTCCCTCTTTCCAGAGCTCCACTGGCAGCTTCTCACAGAAACTATGGCTGGGGGTGGCGGCCAAGTGCATCTCGCTGTACAGGCAGGGGGAGGCCGAAGCCTTGGAGTCCTTCCCCTACGGTCAGATCTGCTCCTATGGAGTGTTCGACAGCAATACCTTCAAGATCACCGCTGGTGACCGGGATCTGCTCTTCGAAACCAGCAAGGTACTGGCCAACGTGTCCAATTCAAGTTTGTCCAAGTTTATCTCTGTATCCTGTGTAGAAACCAAACCAATTCGCTCTTCGGTTTTGTGCGTAGTTACGGTGCTGTACAAAAGCCTCAGGCAGGACCGCAATAAAAATAACAATAACGTTCTTTCTGTTCTCCAAAAAATGACTGATAATCATGTCAGACGTCTAGAAGAACACAGCTTCAGTGCACAAACATCTCCTCAGACACACTTCAGCCGTGCTGCGTATTCCTTACATTCCACAACCAGATCAATTAATTAAATGGCTTAATTAGTTAAATAACTTAACGAGATATTAATTACCCAAACTAGGTGGAGTAGTGGATTAGTCCAAAAAAAATGTATGGGTGTATTGGTTGGTCGCTGCAAATACTAGGGTGATATTAGGAGAGGATTTGAAATGGCTGACCGTTTGACAGACATGGTATCATAGTTTAGGGTGAGCAGATAATCCATGTCAGGGAAGACACTGAACCAGGACAGGCTTTGTAAACTACTATGTCAATTAAAAGGACCTGGATTTCACTTAAGCACCGAGTTCTTGATGTGTGCTGATTGGTCAGTCTCCTATAATCATGCATGTGCTGCTGATGTTAATGTGAAACAGATGGATGAATCTTTCAATTAAGGTAACAAACCAGTTAAAGCACTATTTAGCCAAGCACAGAAGCCTTTTCGTTTTAAAAATAGTTAGTAAAATTTTGAAGTAGCTCTAAATGTCCTCCCTGGCGTGGATTATCTGGCAACCCCATCATAGTTTTACACCAACATGAAGATCTTTTAAACATCACTTTCTTTGACTGCCTAAGACTTTGGCACACTACTGTCCGTCAGCGCGAAGGAGCCCGCTGGGGTCGTCACGGCTCGTCCTCTGTTCTCCCGTCTACACCACGAGCATCGAGCTGGCAAGCTCTCGCCGACACGGAGAGCGTCTGCACAGGGACACATTGTCCTAGCCGTGTCCCTGGCCAACAAAGACAGCCCTGTGACATCACGGGATGCAGAAGCCTCTTTCTGTTTACTGGTGCAGTGGAGCTGGGAGAACCGTGGGCCAGCTCACTCAGGGACGGTGTCGATGGCATTGTGGGGGGGGTGCCAGGGGTCCCTGAGCTGCATTGCCCATTTTGGCAGAATCTGGCCACCATATTGTTTGTGGGGCTAATATGACTGGAGGCCAGATCTCTTCGCTCCGTAATATAAACCGAATTTGGGGGCCCTCTGCTCTGAGCCCATCTGTGTTCCCACAGTCTGTTTCCACATGTGCAGCCCAGGGGCTCCTCTCCAGATCCCTGCAGGTAAATTACACTTCACCTCCCTACAGAATCTGCCGCATAAAATAGGACTTGGAAACCAACAAGATAGGATATAGATCAAATGAGCTTTTGGCCCACCCTGGACACCAGTCAAAAAAAATCTCTGTACTTGTGCAAGAGACGTTGACCTGACGTCGATCCATCCTGAAATTCCACCTCTTTTCGTTATACTGTACACAAAAATCGAGGCTCAGGACCTGAGGCATTGGTCTTAAATACAGTAGGTGCTCAGCATCTGGTTTTGAGATCTCCACCAGAGACGTATCATGAGACTGCAGCAGTCAGTCTAACTCCTTCACCTCTGACCTCCCTTTCACAGCTGACGGAGATCATGCAGCTCATGAACGCCTACCTCAGCGCTGCGCAGCGATACCAGGCACCCACCAGCAACGCGGACACCGATAGGGGCTTCTGTATCTCTCCGGCCAGCAGAGAGGAGTCCTTGACCTTTTAACTTTCACGCCTCCTGGACCTTTGGCCACGTGCGCCGAGATGAGCAGACCGAGAAGGTGAAGTGCAGGGGCCGTCTGCAGGGCAGAACTTCAGCATCGGTCCTGCTTCGTTGTGGAGGGCGGGGGATGGTGCCGGTGCTCTGCTCCACTTGGCACTTGGCCCCCGGCTTTGTAAGTCGTAAAGGGATGGGGAAGAAAAACTTGACTTTTTAGCTCCAGGCTCCAATTTCCTCTAGCTGTGGATGCGTCAACCCGCCAGAATTTACACATACACATGCCGGATTTAATAAGTCATCCTGCTTTCTTCGACGGGACTAAAGAGACTTTTCCAGTAGTCTAGTCTACTGGCGTGGGTTGAAAGGAAGAAATTATTCCTTTGGAACCAGAATATATGGCTAATATTGCTTCAGGAAAGGGTGTGAATACCAAAGGATATATTCTTTATTTTCCCAAAGCTTAACGTCCCCTCACCTACGCTGCTCATCAGAAGCTCTGTGAAGATCTACATCTTGACCGCAGACCGTGGTCAGGAGTAAACGCTGTGTCCATTTCCGGTCTGCTGTCAAACTTGGTGTCATTGTTTAGGACTTCTTCAAATCTGCACTGCCCCTGAACATACATCCCAGGCTTGAATAGCACTGGTTCAGAATCGACCTATCAGAGGAATGTTGTACCACCTACATGTAAAGATCCCTATAACTGTACCTATGCCCTTCAACACAAAAAACCTTAATCTTCTGAATAGCTTCCCTTTTAAAAAATACTTTATTTAAGGAAAACGGTGCCATTCTGTGACGTTAATTTTATTTTTACCTTTTAATAAAAAGTTTTGATAATAATTGATTTTGTACTTCTTACTTAAGAACCTCTCATGCAAACCTCGATTAGTTTCAGTTTATCCACAGCTTTCCGGGATTCAAGCATGGTGCAGTTTTGGGTGCTGTTTTCCTTGGGATGGTTCAGGAACAGTCACTCCTGCCATTTTCCAGTCTCCGGGTGACAAACTGAAAATGCACCCTTTGCCTTCACATACATCAGGTTAATACCGGGGACCAAGGAGAGACAAGATTTGTAGCTTCAGTGACATCACTGGACATTTGGTGCCTTGCTTAGTTAAACCCCTCCCCTTACCTAAAGTATCCATCTCACACAGAAATGATTCAGGTTTCCTTCAACCTTTGTTTTGGCTCATGGGAGTTTTACTTACACAAAAAATGTTCTGAGGGCAGACAGAAAAATGATTGGTTGAGAGACATTGGTTGTACAATAAGATTGTAGAGGTGTGACTAAGCAACTATAGGAGGCAGGACCAAGATATCTGATTGGTTGTTTGCACTTCCTCTAGTTGCTTGGACCCCTCCTCCTCAACTATCTGATTGGTTCAGAGAGATAACTAATCAGTTTTCCCTCTGCCCTTAGAACATTTTTGTGTCAGTAAAACTCTCATGGGCTTTATTTTGTCCTCGCTTTCATTTGAGAAATAGCGAATGACACTCCAGTTTATGGCAGAGCACAGCACTGGCCAGATATAGCCCCATCTCACCCACCCTCTCAATTCAGCCGTTAAAAGCCCGCATACCCTTCGGCCGAAACCCGGCCTCCGTACCAAATCCTTCCCTGGCAGGAAGTCAGAAAGCAAACACGTTCCTCAGTCATGCTCCAAGTTTATGCCTCCTACTGCACTGTTTCCCAGCCTAATCTTCAAGGACCCTCAGACAGTCCATGTTTTTGCTCCCTCCCAGCTCCTAGCAAAATATGGACTGCTTGGCAGGGAGCAAAAACGTGCACTGTCTGGGGGTCCCCGATGATCAGGTTGGGAAACACTGTGCTACAGCTGCAGGCAGCTCCTCTTATGAAAGCCATATTTTTTTAAACTGTATGACAGGAGGACAGCTAGCTTTGTCTGTAACTTTGTATGCTGTTTGTATGCCGCACGGTACTTCTGTAGATGTATGCTGTTTATACATGTGACTTGGATGTGCAATAATGCGAGATTAGTATGTATTTAATAAAGCAACACTATTCATACACTGTAGAAGCCATGTTTTCATTACACTTGGGCCTTGACTGAAATTTCTGGTGGATGCTGCTCTCCATGCGACCATCTCAGCCAACGAAAAAGTATGGATCGTACTGACTGTTTGTGGTCACTATTTATCCAGCATAGAACACACAGGTCTCTCACTTGTGTTAAATCTTTATTTGTTAAAGCACAAATTCGAACACTGCATCTGCTCCAAGCAGATGTGCATTTTTGCATTCGCTGCATGTACACCACTTGCAAATTTCTGCGAAGCAGGAAATGATTTGGGGGGTGGGAAAAAAAAAAAAAAGTCTCAGTGCATTGTGTACTATACAAGAAACCACAAATATCCACAATTAGAAAAATAGACACCCTTCCACTGTCTGGATGCAAAAAATATTGGTCTGTTGTACTGATTTGGCTTGAGGTTGTTGTTAATTTTGCATATTGAGCCAGGCATTACAAAAATGGACATGAAAACCAAAGTACTGGTGTTACCTATTTGGTAACCAGCAAAGTTTCCAACTACCAGCTGAAGACTGGCAGACAGCAGAACTTCCAACTATCAGGGGCACCTTCCACATTTGCTTTCTTGCCCAAACGCACGAGGAGCTCCCAGGATGCCGAGGGTGCGTCGTGCGTCGTGCGCTATAGTGACATCACCAACTACTCGGATAGCATGCTACAATTTTGGGGGAAGCAAAAACGTATTTGATGTCAAAGGAGTTCACGGTATCGAACGGCTTGCCGTACTGCCAAGCTGAAGTAGCAAGCGGTCATCTCGTCTACAAATAAGGTCTTTTGTTCGCTAGAAGATTCAGGAAGCCATAACAGCCCGGGAGGAGAGCTATTGAAAAGCTAAACCACAGCAACAAAAAACAGATAGAGTTTATAACCCTTACTTGGTCGCTATTTTGGTGCGACGTCTAACTCTAATTTCATCTCGTATTATATACTCTGCCAGCTGTTGCACAATGCAGGCAGCCACGCCTTGCATTCAGGTTTGTCAGGCGAAGAAAAGCTGGCAGACATGTACAGTCATGTTATGGGGAGGGGGGAAATCTGAACAAAGTGAGGTCCAACCAGCTGACGAGCAGGACACAGCTCAAGACAAAACTTGGAAATTGCTGTGCTACGTTACGCAATCAGCGAATAAAATGTTCACCGGATGATAGTACATCATTTACATAAAATTCCCGGGCTTGAAACACTGTTGTATATAATGAGGGAATACCTGCTATAGGGGAACTAATGGCTTATAGCATCCTACTAGGTCACGTCAACAGAGAAAAAAGCTACCTTCTTCAGAGGTGCCTAGAAGAGGTCTGGGCTTATAGCCCTGGGGGGTGATCACTGCTCCTGGGACCCCCAGGAGATATAGTCGGGCCTGGTGGCGGCACTGTACTCATCAATGAGCTGCTGGACCACTTCCCGAGAGTTATCCAGCTCGTCGAAGTTCTCCTTGAACATATCCTCCTTCCGGAACTGTTCCAGGAAAGCCTCGCGCTTGCGTAGCTTGTCGTACTGCCGGCACGTGCGTTCAAAGAGCTGCAGGGAAACGAACGAAAAAGTCAAACAAAAAAAAAAACCAAACAAAAGTCCACCACACGTGAGGCCCATGTGCACACGTATTACAGGACTTCAAACAACAAAAGTGTGGACGCCTCGCGAGAAGACGCCAGCCATTGCTAATCGTGCTAACATTCCTCGATAATGAGCAAACATTTATATTAATTATGTTACTGCTACTCATTAGTAAAATGCAAAGGGTTCATTTGAGGGGTACAGTTGCTGTGGGTGGGGCTTACAGAGGAAATGCTCGTGTGATTGGCCATCATCAGCCCGCTGACACGATGGGCGGAGGGTAGGTAGGGGGACTTCCTTGACAGGGCCACTTGGATGCTGGCGGGTCCCCAAGGGATAAAGTTGGCCAGCTTCCTCTCTCGGATTCTCTGTAGGCTCTTATGCACCTGAAAACCGAACACAGGCCGTCAGCAGATACCCGGCAAGGATGGTGCGCGGGGCGAGCGGAGGAGGACGAGTGATGTGTTGGCGATGGAGGATGAAGGTCATCGACAGCGGGCACAGACGAGCACCCTGATGCTTTGAGGACGCCCACCTGCGTGGGATCCACCTCGCCCTGGATGATGTTCAGGATGGCGATGTAGCAGTGGTTGGTCTGCCGGTCTCGGCCCGTCGACACCATGACGTTCTTGGGCTGCAGCAGCCTCCTCATAACGTCCAGCACCGTGGTCTTCCTCACACTGGCCACCTGTACCCGAATAAGATTACAATGTTCAGAAGCTCCAAGACTGCACTGTTATAACTATGAACCAGAAAGTATTACCAAACTCCACTGCAAATAACTTTGTTGGATCCAGCCAAATGCTGAATGGATTAAGAATTAAAAAAAACCTGACTATAGCCAGCTGGGGATTGAGTTTGACACATAGTCATATTACAAAATATACACGCTATTGTATCCTGTATAAAATCTAGGCAGCAGAAGGAGAAAGAATGTCGCATACCGATTGGTCGGTGGTGAGAGGGGTGTACCCCGTCATCAGGAAATGCAGGCGCGGGGTGGGGATGAGGGATGCTATCAGGCCAATCAGGTCGTTGTTCATGTAGCCGGGGTAGCGCAAAGTCGTCGTGCTGGCAGACATTATGGTGGACACCTGATAGGAGGAACAGCGTAGAGTTACGAGCAGCTCAGCTGGGGAGCGCGCTCTAAAAACAGCCACAGGAGGGCGCCCTTCCTGACCAAAGTAAACAGCAACTGCATCTGTTTTGTGTGCAATATGCACCTAATTGCCATGGCTTTTAGATCACTATTACATGGAATTAAATGAAAAGGTGGCATTAGCTAAAGACCAGTTTTTAGCTACAAGCATTTCTTGGTTATTTGGTCATGCTTTCATAGACTGCTGAAAGCTCATGGGAGTTTTACTTCTGCAAAAATATTCTGATTGGTTATCTCTCCAAACCAACAGGTTTGTAGAGGAGATTGGTCCAAGCAACTAGAGGAGGTGGGACCAACCAATCAGATGTCTTGGACCCACCTCCTCTATAATCTAACTGGATTTCTCTCCAAAACAATCTTTTTTCATTCTGCCCTTAGAACATTTTTGTGCAAGTAAAACTACCACGAGTCAATTGAAATGGCTGAATTTAATTGATTTTATTGAAAACTTGATTATTGATATTGATTAGAAAAATCAATGATAGTGTGGACTGTGTTGAAATTGAAAGAATTCAAGACACTAACAAGAAACTAATATTTGTAGGACTGTGGTTGGAAAGCTTTGAAAATGATGGTACTTGATCAGGGATTTGCATATAAAATATTACGCAACTGAATGCAGTGAAAGGTTCCAGATTTCAAGACACGCCGTTTCATTCCTGCTAGGGGAGAGGCCGTGTCTGACTGGGCCTGCAGCCGGGCCGGGCCTACAAGTCCGGAGCCATGATGGATGCTCACCAGCTGGTTGATCTGAGAGAAGGAGGGGTTCTGGATATGCAGGCGGTCCGTGGCGATGCGGTTCAGGGCCGTGTTGTCCAGCACCACCTACGGAGAAAAAAAGAAATGGTGACATTCACTGGGAGGGGAGATAGACGGACCAACCATAACGCTGTAAACGACACTACTCCATAACACATCATCAGTAACATTACTACACCATAACAACCCCCCAACAAAACACAATGATACCAAACAGAATCTGAAATATACAATGTAGATTGAAATATATATATCTACTGTTTTATATTTAAACAAAAGTAGGTATTGCTTATTTATTCCACAGATGCGACAAAGCATCAGTGAAATACCAGAAAACTGAAATCTGCATCAACCCTTCAAGAAAGGTAATTTATCTTAATTCCCTACTGATTCAGTCCCTCTAACAACAGTCAGTCTTGACATTTGGGGCATCCCCATATCGGTGACATTTAGCGTTGCAAACTTGCCAGGGTATATATATCACTGACAGTACTTGCCGTCTGACTCTAGTCTGCAGTCAGTCTTTGCCCTATAGAACATGCTGAACCTTGAAATGTGATAATTTCCGTAAAAAGATACATTTCCGCTTCCCTCGCTACCGGTCTAAACCCCTTCAGAAAAACGTACAGCGGAAAAACCCATCTTTGCAAGCATCACAGCAGATGGACATGCGCCCCTTGTTTTTTTCCTCGTGTGTGCTCTTCACTTTTTCACCTTTTCCAGCCTTTTTTCTTTCAGTTACACATATCGTGTACTAAAGCAATTAAGCAACATTTTACATGCAACTACATAGTGCCCTTCCCAAGTCACCCATTGGAACAAAGTCCAATTTTTATTCTTTTTTTAAAAACTTGCCATCCACTGTCAAACAGAGCTTCTACACGCAGGTAGTCTGTTGTACAATCTATTGGCACCTGTCCACTAGCATACCGGAACCGTAGTCGTATCGCAAAGAGAAACTAGTTATGGAGTTTCCAGCTCGCGTCAGTGTCACTGCTCAGTAAAGGCCTTGCCAAGTTTGGAAAGTCACAGTGATGTAAAACCGAAGAGATGCTTATTTACCGTTCACAAGGTGTACATTATGAATTACTATGGGCTAATTTCGGCTACCACTCGCTGCGTTACGTTAGCATCTAATGCGAGCGCAATTAGCATTAGCTTGTGAAAATTTGCATTACCGATCCATTCCATTCAGCCGTTATCTATTGAATTTTTAAGCAGGGGTTTGGAAATTTTCAAGCTCTGTTATTGGGAATGCATCAATGCATTGCGTTGTACAATACTACTACTAATGAATAATATATAGAATATGCCGTTTTTCCTTCAAATAATCCATGCACATTGACACAGATTACTAGTACCTCCATGAATTTTGACCAATCAGATGGGGGTGATGCAACCAGCTCAGATTAGTCTCTCTTTCTGCCAGTAAGCAGGGCCATGTCAACAGGAGTTTGGGTCGGGTACGACTTGCATAATTTACAATGGAAATTTGTCTGTTTGCGGTACGAGTCGGGTTCAGCTCGGTTCTTGGTGGCAGTCAAAAAGCACCAGATGTGGCTCCATTTTCTAAATAGTCACTACTGGGGTGCCTATAAAATTGATCCTGACCCAGCAACAGTGTTTATTCATTTTGAGGATGCATTCCAAATTAATGGTGGAAAATTCTAATTACTTTCAAAAGACGCATATATCATAATGAGGGGCTCTTTTGAGAATGATACTGGAAAAGAACCAAAATCCTTACCATTATTAATAAGAGACGCGTGTGAGGTCACAAAATCAGCCATTTCTAAATTACAAGCATGTAGCCTTATGATGTTTACAACCAGAGGGGTCTGAACACCTGCCAGAGGACTTGGTGTCATGCTAGCTGTCAAAGGAACCTAAAAAGGCAATAATGCATCCGATCTGCGCAGGCAGCAGCTCCATACCACGCAGTCAGCGTTCTGCGTCAACCTCTTCAGCGTCAGCAAAGAGTTGTAGGGCTGCACCACCACATCACTCATCTCGTCCTGGTTGGGGAACACCGAGTATGTCTGCACCAGCTTCTTGGGGTACCTGAACACAGAGGGGAGACTGTCTAAAAGGTGCCCTTTTGAGTGGGGGGGAGGGGTTGGCGTCAATCACACGAAGAAGCGCGCTGACCTATCGTTCAGTTTCTCCAGCAGATACGATCCCAGGCCTGATCCTGTCCCTCCTGCAATGGAGTGGCAGAGTACAAACCCCTGAAACATGGACAGAGATCGTTTAGCCCTTTAGAACACAAACACCCTCACAAACAGCCAGAAATGAACTATTACCGATATACTTCCAGCGAACTCATTTCTGAAAATGTGCCCAGGACAGTGCAAAACATTGCAGTTTCATTAAAAAGTACATATCAATTCTTAAGTTGTTTACCACTGTGCTACCTGCTCCATTGGGGATAACACCTGTCACATTTACAAGTGCAGTGTGTGTCCATCACACACTGCATTTGTACAGCACAGACAACCACGCAGTGTGGAACCAGGGGCGGCTAGTTCAGGTCCAGAAAGTAAAAATCCAGACCAAGATTTTCTTTCAACCAACCAGTTGAGTATAAAGAGTCACAGAGTACTCAACTGGTTAGTTGAAACAAAATCTTGGTCAGGAGTTTTACTTTCTGGACATAATCTATCCACCTCTGCAGGTAACTTGGAGAAACACCAGCCTGGTTTGACATTCACACAATGGGAAAAAAAACAGAATGAAAAATTAAACTAGGAAAATAATGTCTAGTCAGCTTCCTAATGTTATTGTGACGAGGCCGAGATGCAAGAAAACAGTAAGCAATACTAATAGTTTTATATTAATTTTTCATTAAAAAAATACATTAACATCTTGGACAAAAGCAAGGGTTTTTTCCAGAGATGAAGCCAAGTGTAAAAATAAATTGTGAATACACTAGAGCACGTGTAAATAACACGAGCTCGTGGCTTCCAGGTGAAAAGCGATCCCTTCAAGTGAGCTGTTAGCTCTCTCTGCTCCAGCCCGGGTCGACCAAGCGGAGATCAAAGCCAGCCACCTCCAAGCTGTCGCTGCCATCTGCCTCTCTGTCGATGATGTCGAAGATGTCCTCGTGGATTTTCTCACCCTGAAAATACAAGCATGACTCCTGCTGAGAGAGCTTGACCAGGCTGCTTTTTCCACACGCACTTTAAGGGTATTTTACGCTGGTCTCTTTGACGGCTTGGGGTTTCTGTTATGGATGGACTTGCCTTTTAAAAGATTTTCCTTATTAATAATTAGTATTAATAATGTCTATCAGGACCGAATGGAAGCATTACTCAGTGTTTATCTTTAAACCAATCTTTTGGATAATAACGAAAATAAAGATATTCTGCACAAGCATAAATGTAATCCCCTTGCTTTCCAAGTCATAAGTTTTTTTTTTTCCATAAGTTTTTCAGTTATCGTGCACACATGGTGAGTCCGACTCTGCACAGTCAATACCTGGGAGAAGCCGCTGGCCCAGTTGTTCCCAGCGCCCCCTCCGTGTTCTGACAGGTAGATGTTCTCTGGGTTGTACAGGTTGGCGTACGGCGAGTTCAGGATGGAGTGGATGACCCTGGGCTCCAGATCGAGCAGAACCGCCCTTGGGATGTAGTGTTCATCGTCTGCCTGTAAGGCGCGCAACGCGACGCTTCGTTTTAGGAGGAACGGCGGAATAAAAACGACGTAATAGCTCCGTCTGCTGGCGATGCCACATTATAAAACGGGAACATAAGCACTCTTCGTTTCTGCAGCTTTTCCCAAAGCTCTTTGCAATTAAGATGCGTAAAGGATGGACGTACTACACGTGTTAAACACTGCAACCAAACCCGGTATGGAGATGCAGATCCCTACAAAGTTATACAAAGGTACAGCAGAACAGCATATAACATTTAAGGAAAGGCTTTACCTTCTGCGGAGTACAACTTATATAGGGATTAAGACCTGAAAAGATGGCTCAGACTAATACCTGGTAGAAAAACACATCTTTGCGGTCCGTGCCCTCCGTGGCGAACTCCTCCACGATTCCCTCCGGGCTGATGCCATGTTCGGCGCACAGCTGCTTCCAAAACTCAAAGCCGACTGCGGGGAAGGAGGATGCGGTTGATGTGATATTTGTTTACCGATCAAATGTTGTAAACGTTACCATTTTAATTATAATAACCAACTAAGGCATGCTTATGAGGAGTACTCATTGATCTGGCAGGCAAAAGCAATGTGAAATGTAGAGTCTTTGTGATCGTGAACAAAATGTAGGTTGGGTTAAGCGGTGAAATCTGCATCTCGAACCTGCTATACTGCCTCATTGCTTAAACTCTCAAAAAACATTTTTAAAACAAATGTCGGTGTATTGCTCGATTTGTGTTTCGTGTGTTAGTTAAGCTACAATGACAGGCATAGCGATGTAAGGAAGCTGTCAGTTACCTACAGAACCAGTCAACAAGCTACCCAACCCTCATTCACCAGCAAACAGCCACATTTTAATTAATCAGGCGATTACTAAACAATAAGATCCGCACACTAAGTTTCTTTTAGAGTGATACACCCGTAAAACAGAAAGCATTAATCATTCTCTAGTCCGTCCACGGTAAACGACACCCGAGAACAATTCACCATCACCGGGCCTAATCCATTGGATGGGACAAATCAGAAAATGCAACAAATAAACAATAGCATACTCTGATTGCCGCACTGTCCTAACTGAAGTGTTATAATCTCCCTGGGCATCTTGCTTCATTAACGGAGTACCGAAGTTAATCAACTGACAATCCAGCGCTCGAAGGCCTGCCCCCAACGCGTCTCAGTGACCGGCGCTTCCTTTCTCCCGCCGTGGTGACGTCACAAGCCCGCGCCGCCCGCAGGTGTGTGTGCGCATGCGTAAAAGAAATGCGTGGCTCATCGAACTACAGATCCGTGCTTTGCGGCAGCTTGCGGTAAATCATAATAAAGGCAGATATGCTGTGGTTTTTTATTATTAACAATATTATTGTGTTGTTGTGGATTTATCCACCCTTGATTTCTGTTCAATTCAATTTAATTTGGTTACATTATTTACCCAAGTAGTACTTGGCTAAATAATACTACATTATTCACAGTATATCAGTTTTTTTTTCTGTTTGCCGGTTCTTTCTGGAAAATACTGAAAACCATATAACAGCTTGCATGTAAACATCTGATCTGAAATTCCCTTTATGAAAAATAACAACTGGTCGATATATATATATACACATATATATATATACACATATATATATATATATATATATATATATATACATATATTTAAACCAAGTGGAAATTTTAAAATTTCAGCTTTAAACTAACCACTTTAATCTGTTAATCTGATTCTTAAATGTGTGTGCAAATTTTAAAACTGGTTTGATTCAGCCAGAAGCAATATCGAGATGTGTCATGGGGACAAAAGAGTCCTGAGGCTTAGCAAGCAGAGTGGAATGTAACAACGTATAAATACGATCCAAGCACACCCACACGCACAATGAAGCTTAATCCTAACCACAGCCGCAGCTATCCAAAATTTACCAAAAAAAAAAAGTGACAGCCGTAAGACAAACATCCACTTCATTAATTTAGAGAATTTTGATGAATATTTCAGCATGGACGTCCGGAGGACCTGCGGTCGAGGAGCCGGGAAGCTGTAGGCAGGCGAGGGAAATTTAAGCTAGAAAGCAGGGGACCGCCCGTCAGCTTCGCCATGTTGGAGGCATCGGCAGCGTAGAGCAAATCAAATTGCCTGTATCGGCGTGTTGGAAGAGGAGGACCTTCTCGGACAGTACTGTTTAGTCTAAGGAAACGTGACAGATGCGTGACTTGGTGGGGAGTCAGAAAAGCTGCGGCCGCGGAGCGGTAGGGCTTGAATAATGTGTGATTCGGGTTTAGGCTGGTGACATTGTTTTTTTTCCCCTTCGCCTGTGTCGGGCGGATATCATGGACGTCCCCGCAGCACGTCTCCAGCCGCGGAGCCAGTCAGTCTGACATACGGCAGCTCCCCACTCCGTGATCGTAGCAGCCGAGCCGGACCTGCGCGGGGTAGTAAGGGGGCGGCTTTCCTGCGTATCGCCGGTGCATAGCGCCTTTACCCGTAGCCTGGGATTAGGGGGCGGGGGGGAAGGCGGGCCGTCGCACCGGCTTTAATCGGACGTTAAGATGGCGCTCAGCGGGGAGACCGGAGACGCAAACGAGGGACGGGAGTTCGGGCTTAGCTGCGGCCCGGAGAGCGGATCGGGTCCCGCTGAGAGGGACGCGCAAGTGCAGGCAGTCAAGGCGTCGCTGCTGTGCAGGTTGGGGCCGTACGAGCCGATCGTCACCCGCGTACAGGGGCTGCTGATCTGGGAAAGGCCGTTTCACAGCGTGCTGCTTTATACGGCGGTCAACGCCGTCTTCTGGTAAGTCGACCTTCCTTCCCAACATGCCTCCGTGTTTCGATCGAAAGGGAAGTCAGCCGGACATTTTGCTTGTTTTGTGTATCGGGCGCCCCACGTGTGCGCTGGAAACGGATGGTTCGAAGCCCTCGGCGGGGATCTGCTGTGACACAGCTGACATGACATCTCTTGGTGCGGGATGGAAGGCAGATGGCCCCGTTCGCCTATTTTTAGAGCGCAGTGGCCACATCGTGTTTTGTCGCTTCGGTCCGCGACTCTGTTCCAATCGTTTGTTTTGTGTGTGAGGAATGAAAGGTTCGCGCTTGGTAATATCCACTGTAATAAGTTAATCCTTTTGCCAAATGCAGGAAACCGATGGGGCAACAACGGGCCGACGGGCACTGTCACTTCTGTTGTCAAGTTCTCCAGTCTCTTTGCATGGTTCTATGTTCAGCCTGGGTGAAATATTGATCTAATTTTCATAGTATTTTCGAATCCTGAACTGATCAGAATGATATGAAGTATATACAGAATAACACTGGGGAATTAGTTATTTGGAATGATTAAATATAGACTCATTAACTGACGCACTTTGCTTACATTTAATTTAACAGATCGGCAGATATGGTTTCTTGCATTAATGAAGGATGTAATCAAGTGTCAGGTGTCTTGCACATGATACTCTCTGGTGTGTCCTCCGTCCGGAAGACCTTTACAGTGGCTGGAAATTAGGCTTGATATATCTGGGAGCTATGGGTAACCTACACGGTGCAATCCAAGCTATCTTAAAGGGGTGGTATCTGGTAGACTGGTATAGTAAATGACAGCCATTGCCCCTTAAAGGGAATGTTACATGAAAGGCCAGTGTTCACTGAAACAGGGTAAATGACCTGACATAGTTTGCACTCTGTGTACCGTCTTTGCACTTTGTCTGTTTGGTGCTATATGTATGTTTCTCTGTGCACAAGTTCTCCCTGTTGTGTGCACTGCAGTTTCCCCCTGGGATCAGTAAAGTCCGTCTTAATCTTAATCATTGTTTAACTGGGATTATTCCAGCTGTGCAGTGATTCTGTTTTAAAATGTGCAGCTAAACTTGATTCAGAGTCTGAGGAATGGTACCTCAAGTTTGTTATTTTATACAAATAATAGGCAAAATCTCGGTTTGCCCGTTTAGACTGGAGGTCAGAAGGTCACACGTGCACAAACGCGAAGATGACCCTTAACAGCCTGCTGTCATGTTATATCACATGTGCATGCACAATAGGAAAGTGATGCTTAGCCATTTGACAGTGAAAAGTGAAAGTCCGTGTCCAAGCAAGGCGCGCAATGTTACCAGATTGTAGTTTCTCCGCTGTGTAATTCACCTGTATACCCTGCATCCGCTTAGAATGTTTAACCGTATAAATTATATAAATGGGCAATGGCCTTTTTTTGTGCGCGTTTGCCCTGTGGAAGAGGAGTGTGCTTTTGTGTTCAGGCAGGCTGAAAGACGCCCAATGGAAGAGGAAGATTACTGCAGCTGTTGAGCTGCCTTAGGTGTCTTTAAAGTGGTAAATCCTGTATAGGTGTCTGGCCGGTTTCATTTCGGCTTCATGTGGGAAGGGATCAGTGGATTGTTTTCAGGGGGCAACAGGAAAATGGGTCGCCTTTCGAAGAGGAAAGACGAAGCGTGTCACTGACTTTGTTGTTCTACTAAATTCTTTAAGTAAACAGCGAATTTGTTTATTTAACAATAATTGTAGCCATAATTTCTGGATAAATAGATGAACATGACAAGTTTAAATATGTTCTGCTAAATTCTTCTAATCTTTCACACAAAACAAATCGGACACTTATGATCTCCTAGTCAAAAAGCAAGAAGTTTGCCTGTCAGAGCCCTTTTTGGAAGGACTGGTCGTGATGGTTCTCACTGGAGAGCTTTCAGCGACCAGCCAGCTACTTGTCGCTATTGCTAACTCTGACCCATTCAGATCTAAGCACCAAGCCTCCACGTATGAAAACATTAGGACTCGTGTGTATTTGGGCAGTTCTGGGAACAACTAAAATTGCACTTGGATCACATGGGATAATTGTGTTCCAACATCAGTCTGAGACGGGGGGGCAGTCTGATTTCAGGGGGCCCTGGTGCCCTGCCTGGTAATGGGCAACCTCAGCAGCATTTGTGCTTGGAAGCATAACGGCTCCAGTCCAGTGCGCCTTTTCCGCACATGTAGGCATTGTAACAGCCATATGGTTGTTTAGTTGACCTTTTTTTTTTTTTTACTTGCTTATTTTCAGACATTATCTATATTATCTTGGTGGGGGCTGTGCTTTTCTTGGTTACCTGCCCTTAACGCTTACCAGAAGCACAGCAGCCCCAGCCACACGCTACCTGCTGCGGGACCCGCTCTGACTGTGGCGGTGCTGTCCTCCTCTCCCAGGTTCCTGGCCCTCACCTCCCTGCGTGTCCTCTTCCTGCTCTCGGCCGGTCTGGCCGTGGCCGTCTGCGTCGACACCTGGAGGAAGAGGATCTGGCCCGAGATCAGAGGTGCGCTTGCGTTCCCAGCCGTCGCTCCCGCCCCGGGCCAATGACAGCGGTCTGCCATTGCTTTAAGCCTCGAAACGTGTGTCCAGGTAATTTCTGACGCCGCTATGCTGTCTGTCTTCACAGTGAGACGAGTGGATGAATATGAAAATGAAAGGTAAGTTATCTACTTGACAGAGTAGTCAGCCGCTTTAGTATTTATATCCCATCCAGCTGGTTCTCAGGGACCCAGGGAGCCTGTTCCAGGCTGGGGGGGGCACCCTGGCAGGGTCCTTCACGGGGCACATACCCTGTGCACGACTTAAAGATGTCAGTCAGCATAGCTGCAGGAGGAACCTGGAATAGCCACAGTTCCCAAGGCGAACATGCAGACTCTGTGCACAGAGCGGGATTCATACCCCGTCCCCAAGGTGACTGGCACTGGTGCTTCAGTCAGATTCTATGCCACCACTTTGTACCTCGTAGTGTTTTTTTAAAAAAAGACACAGTATCGTAAATTTCTCAGCTGCTGGCTTGTTGAAACTGTAAGTCAGTTGTATGAGATGAAACATGACCCCCCCCCCCCCCCCGAATCTGTACTGCAGGGGTGCCCAATCCATCAGTTGATCGCGAGTTGATAAATTGAAATAAAGTATTATCCATTAATTTCATTGTGATTAACTGAATATACCAAAGTTAGACCATCACTCACCCTGGTTGGCAAAATCTGGTCGGGCCCCCCCCCCCCCCCCTCTTTCCCTCCCCATTGGGCAGAAAATTTACCACCGTGATTTGGTGGCTTGTCAGACTATTTTCTTTGTAAAAGTACCTCTCACAAGTGGTGCACCCCTGCTGGGTCACGGAAGGTTATGTCCCTTTGAATTTTGGAAAGGAGATTCCGTCTCGTCCATCTCTGAGAGAGGACTGGTAAACAGCGGCTAATGGTGGTTAGTGTGGTTAATGTGAGACGGCGCCCCACCTCTGCGGGGCAGCCTGCCCCTGACCGCTCCTCCCGCTCCGCAGCTGGGGTCTGGTGCAGCCCGGGATACTCAGCGTTCCGGAGCTGTGTCACCACATGGCCGAGCTCTGGGTCTCAGGATCGTCCTTCAGCACCAGCCTCGTGGACTTTAAGAGGCACAATCCGGGCAAGGTGGGTGGCCGGGATTCCTATAATCCAGATACCTGACAGAGGCCGACAGGCAGGGGGTGCTGTGGTCAAAAAAACGGGAACTACAACCAAAAGAGTTTTCAAGTACTCGTTAAAGAAATTAACAAAAGTAACAATAAGATTAAAAGTTATATAAATGTCTGTAGTGTGTTGGGTAGCTAGTTTGTTTACCTTTAATTAACCCTCAGCGCCGCACCCTGCATGCACCCTGGAGTGTGTTCAGGTAGTCTGTCCCCTGTACCCTGCTTGGTACTGGTACTCATACCCTTGTTTGCTTCCCTCGTTAATGCAGTAAATGGCTTGTTTTATGCAAATGCAAGTAACACTTAACCCTTAGTAGCTATTAACCTGCGGTCTGCCCATGCTGTCCAGTTCTGTCTTCTAGCGTGTAGCTTCTTCAGCTTCCTGGCCATGCTGGGCCACTACGTTCCTGGACTGGTGCTCTCCTATGCCGCAGGTGAGTTTCCCCCCCCCCCCCCCCCCCCGCTCCCCCAGTGGTGGGAAATGGAATACCACTGGCATTTTGGAGATGTATGGGTAAATTGGGTATGATGGGGATTCTGTCTGCGCCGAGGCGCATGTAGACCCCCTCGCGTCACGTCTGTCTGTCCCCAGTGCTGATGGTGTTGCTGAGCCCTTTGGCCGCCTGTCACCGGATGTGGCAGCGCCTGTGCGTGAGGCTGGAGCCGGCCCTGCGGCGGCTGGACTTCAGCGTCCGCGGCTACATGATGTCCAAGCCAATGGAAAACCAATGTGAGCATGGGGCGGGGCCTTGCAAGAAAGTGGGCCTTTCTCTTTAAATCTCAGCCTCTGACCTTGGCCTGGGGGGGGTGGGGCTATCTTTGTGATACAGTTCTCCGCCGACCCATCAGACCGGTTGCCACGGCGGACGCCAGCGATAGCGAGGAGGAACTGGCTGCCTTCTGCCCCACGGTAATTCTACACCTGGTCCAACACCCCTGAAGCACCTGTCTTGTGTTTTATAAATCTGTCAGTGCCGATTACCCGGTATTTCTGCACCACGGTCAGGTCGTTCTGACTCTTCTCTCCGCTCCGCCAGCTTGATGACGCGGCGGCGGCCAGGGAGCTGGCCATCACGGACTCAGAGCACTCAGACGCTGAGGTCTCCTACACGGAAAACGGCACCTTCAACCTGTCCAGGGGGCAGACTCCCCTCACCGAGGGCTCTGAGGGTGAGGCCCGTCGCTGCCTTTGGCACTGGCGTGGAGACGGGCCGAGTACAGGAACAGAAATCTTTCAGAAACTAATAAAACCCCCTTTTATTACTTCTCTGCTGCATTTCAAATGAATGCTAAGTTAGACAGTTGCACTTGGTGTAATTGATTTCATCCATGTTCCCTAACTGCTTCTCCAGTATAGGGTCACTGGGGCACTGTGTATTGAGATTCATCCCCAGTCTGCTGGGCATCCAGCCCTGGTAGGTGGTTAACTGTCCATCCGTTTGCTCAGACTTGGACAGACACAGTGACGCAGAGGAGTCGTTTGCCCAAGACCTCCCTGACTTCCCCTCCATAAATCCCTACGCCACGCTGCTGGACGACGACGACGACACCAGCATCGGGCTGCCCAGTCTGGCGCCATCGAGCCTTTCGGGCCGCCGGTCCGTACCGCTGGACATGGATGCAGACACCCAGCTGGACTCGGACCAGGAGGAGCTGGACGCCGAGCTGTCCCTCAGCGGCCTGCCCCCGGCTGCGAACTTCACGGCCGACATCAGTGGCATGATAGCCAGCAGCATGATCCAGGCGGCCCTGGCGGGGGCTCTGCAGCCGCGGCCGCCCCCCGCCCCCCAGAGGGAAGCCGGGTTCCGGGCCGGGCCGCGCCGGGCCTGCCGCAAACAGTCCAGCTCTGAGCTGGACACCGACCTGGAGAACGAGGACTTCGAGATGCTGGATCAGTCTGAGCTGAATCAGATGGATCCATTGGGGAGTTCCTCTCGCGGCGCCGGACAACCACAAAACCAGGGTTCCAGCTTCCTGTCCAACTTCCTGGGAAAACCGAAGTGAAAACCTATTTTTATACGTGTCAGCGGAACCAGCTGGGTTTGGATGGGGTGTGTGTGTGTGCGTGTGCGCGTGTGTGTGTGTGTGTGTGTGTGTGTGTGTGTGTGTGTGATATCGCGTGTGGTCGCGTGTGTTGACAGGGGTCCCAGCCAACAAAAAGCTGGATTTGGTTTGCCGTTGATATCACTGTGAAGTATTTTGTTAGGTTTTTAGTTCAGTATTTTGAGAGTCTTTCCTCCTTTGGGGTCCTACACATATAAGATCCCTTGTTTTAAATGCTTTTAGTTTTGTAGGCTGAGCAATAGGACCTTTCACTCAATAACACACACGCACCGCATACAACACGGCAAACCCGCTTAATTGTAATACTTGCCAATCACTTCCCCTCAAGCAGCGAGAGAGCAATTCATGTCAAATCCACTTCAGAAATCACAATAAAATGCACACTATGCCTTTGTTTTGTCAAAATATTAACACTACACGGGATTAATGACATGGGACCAAACCTACATTCCTGTTTGTGAGAATTTGCTGGAGAAAAATCTAAATTTCCCATGATTTTCTGGTTTATCACAAGCTTGGCCTCTGAGGACGGCAGCAAGGCCTGTGTGTTTATTGCATCTTATTTTTCTGTTTGCATCACTCTGCAATGTACATTTGTAAATAATACCTTCATATTAACATTCAAGAATCAGGCGTAATGATTCATCCATTGGTCATTGCGAGATGAATCAGGTTTTCCCCAAGCGGTGTGTGACGTGTCTCACCGCCGTAGCAACCATCTGAACGGGCTGTTGTCATGCGTCTCCGTCTGTGGGTGTGTGCGTGACGACGGGGCCTTCTTCTGTGTTGTCGTGTTAAGAGAATCAGTTTCATTTATCTCAAATGAACCTCGAATGAAAGTCTGCAAAATTTGCAAAGGGGAAAAAAATGGAAGAACGAGAAATTATTAAACAAAGATATTTCTTTGCTGGCCTGGCTGTGAGCCTCGGCCCGTGGAGTAATGTTGAGGTGTACATTTGAGGTTTTGGTGCTCAGTTATATGATGCTTCTCCCACTTTTATGAAAGTTACGTGGGATAAAAGGTTAATCTGACTTAGCGCTCAACCTTTCAAAACATAACTATCAAACCAATTGCTTTTTTTTTTTTTCCTCAGCAAGATCCATGATTTCATGCGCTTCAAAGCGCCCATCCCTATAAATTACTTTCTCACGGGTATTTTACTTCAGGGGAAGCGTGGAAGTCTGTCTTCTCAACTCTTTGTTCTTGCTGGTTAGTCAGGGAAGCTGGGAGTACCGCAGGTCCTGGGACCACTCCCAGTTTCACTTGTGATCTGAGTGGCAAGTGCATGACATGGAAATGGGGAACCGCATACATAGTAAAAAACCCTCCCAGCGCAAAAGCCATAGATAGTATTGTGTGGCTTTGGTTTTAGCCAAATGAACTTTAACAACTAGTGATCTAATGAATGCCGGGTTCTTATCATTTCAATAATACACCCATTTTAAGGCACACAATCATCGAGACACGCTGTCACTTTTGATGATGTTTAACCCATATTAATCAGTCTGGTTGGTAGTTCCATTTAAAAAGGAGATGCAGACCCTTTCTGAATGAATCACATACTTCTACAGTGGTTGAACGCAGCATAGTATCGTAGTTCATGTTGTTATATAATACAATCGCCAGTTCTCACAAATTGGCCATTTGGCATAATAAGTTTACAAGTTAGCATTTTATTTTAGCATATTTCACATTAAGTACAGCAGTAATGCAAGCCAAAGCTTGTCTGAACAAGTGATGTGCTTTTCCCATGCGCATTGTGCATTAAGTACAGCAGTAATGCAAGCCAAAGCTTGTCTGAACGAGTGATGTGCTTTTCCCATGCGCTTTGTGCATTAAGTACAGCAGTAATGCAACCCAAAGCTTGTCTGAACGAGTGATGTGCTTTTCCCATGCGCATTGTGGGGCTTCTTTCCAGCTTGTGTCCTGCTTGTGTCGAGAAGAAAAATGTGATACTTTCACAACAGGATGTGGGATGGGCAGTGACCCGAAGTAGCACTCCTGAACTTTCTCAGACATTACCCCTCTCTCCACACCATATCTTCTGTGTCTAAATTGTGAGCTGTGTATAATTTTGGCTGTATGTTTAATGTTTCTTCTCTCGTTATCAGATAGCAGGAATTGATATTTTAATGCATGAGTCTCTCGTAAGGCACCTCGACAGAACCCGGGAGGAGAATGACAGTAGTGAAAATCATTTGTTAGGCATAAATATACAAAAAGTCCCATCTTCTAAAATTGTACATTTTTATTTTTTAATGTAGTTTTTGGTTTATCAGTAGTATTTTCTACGTAAGAGTCTGTTTGCCCATTATTGTTGACACCATGTGTACTGTGTATTGTTGGGATTCAGAACATTAGTACAGTGTGGAGCTTAAACCCCTGTATAAATAAATATTGTAAGTGTTATAATGCATTGCTTATTCCCGTAAATGATGCCTGCAATTTTCTGGTTCATTTTCTGGTGCCACTGTTCTTATTTTTATTGTGATCTATGAGAGGGCTCTCTGTTGGGACAAAAGCCTTATTTGGACAAAATTTTATACTTCATCTGGACAATAAATAATGCCTTTAGGATAGTAATGTATTTTTTTTTCTTGATCATTTGTCAATTATGTTGCCTTCTATGGGAAGGGACAGTTGTCATTCAGGTAGGCAACTATTGCTAATTATTTGTCCCCTCTGTCCCCCAATAGAACACACTGTGAACATGTTATATACAAACGTATGAAGTAGAAGATTGAGTGAGGTAACTGACTTGTTTTACAGATATTGTAATAATGCAGCTTTGAACCACATTACCACTTACATTTCACTGATTTGACAGTGGAAGACAGCTGTTTTTTAAGACGTCCCGTTTACACAATAAACAAAATTGTGGTATAGTTAACTAAGTCCTGGATGTGGAGGTGAAATGTAAAAATTCTGGTTTCATCATTAAACTGTGCAGCAAAATATCCTTGTGATAGCGTGATTCTCCCATGTTTGACAGATTTTCTTTGTAATGTTGCCCTTAATGAGAATTGTAAAAAGTGAGTCTACTTTTGTTCAATTCAAGCACAAAGAGCTGGATCACACATAATGACAAAATCGCCGCTGGGTTGAATATTGGTATTTGAAAGGCAATTGCCCAATGGTTTTATTAATGCTGTATAATTAAGTTTTTTGAGAAATAGTACAAAAAATGTCGAATGGCCAGATTTCCCTGTACCACAACATAGCTTGTTTTAACCTTCTGTTTGACCAGAACAAGAATGAGTTTTTAAAATTCTTGGTTGTTAAAGGTTATCAAACTAGGCTGGACTTGGTAAACAGCGGGTTGGTAAACTGGTCCAGTGTGAAGCGGGTCCTGTACGTTACAATGTTTCAATAAATGTCTGTAGTTAAAGTGAAATCTTTTCTCTGTAACTCGGTTTTGATATGTTTTGATGTGAAAACCTTATTAAAGAGAAAAATTTAAACCGACTAACAAAGCAAAAGGATCGTACGTTTACTCTTCGGTGGAGTGCGCCTTTATTTTCACTGTTTACTTTACGTTGGAGGGCGGGTTTTCGTTTACAGGGTGTTTTGGAGACATCATTTATATTCATGAGAGAAGCTACCTGATTGGTCGATAAAACTGTCTGAGCTATTCACTAGCCAATCAGGCAGCGCTCTTTCATGAATATTAATATTCCCGAACCACTTTGTAAAATGGATAATTTGGGTGCGGCGTGGGACCTGTCGTTCACTATTGGTTGGTAAAAATCTAATAACCCCGCCCGTATGACCTGTTGTCCCACAATCCATTGCTGCCCGCGAACCTCGAATGTAGCTCACAACAAGCAAGTTAGTGCAAAAATGAGTAAAAAGGATGCATCTGGTAAGTTATTTTGATACCGAAATAAATAATTTGTGTTTTGAATAAGTGTGTTTGTGTGTGCATATACACGTTAGCAGTGTGTTTCCTCAGCATCGTTTTAGCTTTGTCGAAATAGCTGGTTCTGTTTATACAATTTGGACGGACAACCGGAGTTCAGTCAGTGGTTCGAATTATACGATTGTAATGTGTATTATGGTTTATTAAAATGTTTTGACACTGACGTTTTGACAGTTCCGCTGTGTTTTAGTCAACCTGAAGTGTTTGCATGAGTAATCGCCAACGCGTTTGTGACCGCGGTAAAGATAGTTTGCAGTTTGCGATTCGGGATTCCTTTAAGTTTATCTCGACAGTGCGGTGAGGTAAACCAGTAAACACAGTGGCATTTTGTTATTCGTGATTTGTGAATTCGGATGACGTCATTTCCCATCCCGAAATCTGCCGATATTATACTTTGCCTTTTTGTTGTCAAACCCCGAATAATAAAAAAAAAACTTCACCATATAAACAGGTCCAGGCAGGCTCATTCTGACCAGTCTGATTTGTGAATTTTTTCACAGTCCTCAGTTCGTCTGCCAGTGACTGATAAGCGCTGAGACAGAAGGGATTAAAAACACATGTCACATGCCATAGCAATATATGGGCTACATCCCATCATAGTGGCCAAAACATCCAAACAAAGTGGCCCAGAAGGACCAAACTAGGCTCAAATTGATCAGTCTGATTTGTGATTTTTTTCACAAATCAAATGTGGTCAGTCAGTCATAGGTCAGTGTATGTATTAGGCAGCTGGTGGAAAAAAAACACTCTTTTTACACATGAACCTTANTTTTTCACAAATCAAATGTGGTCAGTCAGTCATAGGTCAGTGTATGTATTAGGCAGCTGGTGGAAAAAAAACACTCTTTTTACACATGAACCTTACCAATAATGAACATACCCTTATAAAGCACAATGTATTACTCTTTTAAAAATGTACTTTTTAATAACAATTTACTCTTAAGTGGTGTGGTGTTAGACATGTTAGAACAAATATAGCAGCTACTTGAGATAAAAGATGCGTCATGATTCATTAATGATGAGCAAATGTGAGATTAGTATTTCACAAGTGTTATGTTGATTCTTGTTCAAGACCGCTATGTTCTCGTGCGTAAAAATATAAGTTGCTCACCAGAAACTAGCTGGTGCGCACAAGAATATATTATGAGCGCACAATGACATATCAGGGAACTGCGGCAACATATTCTGTACTGTTCTGGAAAAATTCATTAGGAACAAAATGGATATGAGTTTGTAGTTTGGGGGAGTGTAATAATAATAATATCTTTATAAATAGACGGGAAATACACCAAGATAAAATATACTAGACAAAATTATTTCTCTGGTATATAATGTAATGTAAAAGTTTATTATAATAGAATACTGGACATGAATGTCTGTATGTTGTCTCTTGTTATTGCTAGTCATGTTACAATGAATATGCAATTTAAAAGGAAAAACAAGACAAAAAGAAGAAGGGCACAACCACCTTGAAAACAGAAATATGCCATGGCAAAATATATTTGGCATAGCCTATGTACTGGCACTGGCCAAATAGCTACGCTGAGTGATGACATGCGAGTAAATACATTTGTGACATTTTCTCAAAAACAACATGGAAATTGTGCTTTATAAGGGTATGTTCATTATTAGTGAGGTTCTTGTGTAAAAACAGTGTTTTTTTTTTTCCCCACCAGCTGCCTAATACATACACTGACCTATGACTGACTGACCACATTTGATTTGTGAAAAAAATCACGAATCAGATTGATCAATTTGAGCCTAGTTTGGTCCTTCTGGGCCACTTTGTTTGGATGTTTTGGCCACTATGATGGGATGTAGCCCATATATTGCTATGGCATGTGACATGTGTTTTTAATCCCTTCTGTCTCAGCGCTTATCAGTCACTGGCAGACGAACTGAGGACTGTGAAAAAATTCACAAATCAGACTGGTCAGAATGAGCCTGCCTGGACCTGTTTATATGGTGAAGTTTTTTTATTATTCGGGGTTTGACAATAAAAAGGCAAAGTATAATATCGGCAGATTTCGGGATTGGAAATGACGTCATCCGAATTCACAAATCACGAATAACAAAATGCCACTGTGTTTACTGGTTTACCTCACCGCACTGTCAAGAGAAACTCAAAGGAATCCCGAATCGCAAACTGCAAACTATCTTTACCGCGGTTGAATTGTGATGGTTAAAAATCGGATGTTTCCCTTTTTGTGCTTGTCTATTCTTATTTACTGGTTGATTCATTGATCGATGTGTGTTCGTGTATACATGTGTGTTCGTGTATACATGTGTGTTTGACTTTGTGTCGGACGATGAGCGACACGCTGCTATTTTCCAAGCACTTCTCCTGGTAGGAGTTGGGGTGGTGTGGCCAGGAGTTTTTCTCAGGCAGCATAGGGGACGGTATACGCTACCCTGTAAGGGATGCTGGAATTCGATTTAGGAAATTTAATTTTAGAGCTGCTCTTGTGAGAACAAACTTCTCGTATTGGCAAGAATACACCGATAGACAGATTTTGCTTTGCCCAGGTGCTGCAGTTATTCTTGAGTACCTCAATGAAAAGAACCGGCCGTACAGTGCCCAAGATATCTTCGGAAACCTGCAAAAGCAGCACGGTTTGGGAAAGACGGTGAGAGTGACAGTGGTCGGCTGCTATATTCAGTTACTCTGCAGCCCCATATTGGGCCATTCTGAGAATGCGCACACGTATATAAACACCATTCCATGGACTTTCAGGCAGTGGTGAAAGCTATGGAGCTGTTGGCGCAGGAAGGAAAAATCATGGAGAAGGTCTATGGAAAGCAGAAGATCTATTTTGCTGATCAAGTGAGTGAAAATGAGTTTACTGGGGCTTATCTATTTATCAAGCTTCTCTAGGTCAGTATCACTGGAAATGAAATGTCTTTATAATTAAGCTTGGCACACGTCCCCCCCCCCCCCGTCCCCCTCCAACTTAGTCTCAGTTCGCAGATGTGAGCGATTCAGACCTTAAGGAAATGGATAGTCAGATGTCACAGCTTAACTCCCAGGTACACACTGTAACACAGGACTGCAAGCAGCTTGAGATGGGTGAGTTCTCTTCGTGTCCGTAATGGCAGAGTGTCGAGTGTTGCATGTTGGCACAGAGAATGGACCAAGGATTGTTGAATTTGTTGAACCATTTTGTAAATATACAGTAGCTCAAAATAGGTTAAAAGCTATCGTAGTAGCTTATGTAGGTGGTTTGAGACCCTATTTAGTGGGGTTTTAGCCACTGTTTCTTTTTTTGTCCCGTCCCCCCAAGATTTTTTTCCTCTAAAACCATGTAGTCATGGTAGGTGACGCATTAAATAGATGGGCAATGATTAACTGTGTTTGTCTTTCTGTCTCTCTTCTGCAGCTCTGAAGGAGCTCAACAGCTCAATGACAACACAGGGAATGACATCAGAGATCCAGCACCTGACGCAGGAGTGCACTGCGTACAAGGAGCGGCTGGAGAGGATCAAATCTGTGGCAAATCACGTTACACCCGAGGAGAAGGAAAAGGTGAGTGATGCTCACCATTTTAAAATAGAAAGAATGCAAACTAGTCTCGCGACTGGGGCACTCGGAGCATGTCCTCCACCAGGGTAGTCATCCATTTACATAATTTGCAGTATTTTAAGTGGTAAACACTAAAACCTGCTTTTCAATAATTTATGCCGAGTTCACTTTTCCCTGTTTTTTCTGTGCTTCAGTGATGTCCTTGAACCTAGTTGTTAACGTAAAGTGGATTTTAGAGGTAGTTTGCGGTCAGGCTTTGTGTGGAATGAGGTTTTACTGAATGCCGAGTGTAGCCTAGTGAAATCCGTCTTCGTATTTTTATCAGATGTCTTAATGTAACATTTTTTTTTTGTGGAAGTTTTCGATTATTTTATGAAGTGTTACATTTGTTCTGCTTCAGTCACCCTTTTACAGCGTATTGTGATGCTTTGGTTCTGAAATGCACATCACTGTGGTTCTGAAATGCACATCACTGTGGTTCTGAAATGCACATCACTGTGGTTCTGAAATGCACATCACTGTGGTTCTGAAATGCACATCACTGTGTTGCAGGTTTACAAAGAGCGGGATCTCTATCTGAAAGAGTGGAAGAAAAGAAAGCGGCTGGTAATATTTTAATTTTTAGTCCTTTTTTAAGGACTAAAAGGATCTAGATTGTTTTTCTATAATAAAATTCAACGTTTTAGGCATCTGATATGGTTGATGCCATTTTGGAAGGATACCCAAAGAGCAAGAAGCAATTTCTGGTAAGCGTGGCTTTTCTGGGTCTCACCGAGTTCATCCTGGATTTTACACACACCCTCTTCCTGCACCCATGAACCCTGGTGTCAGAGGTACAGGGCAACACACACACACACACACACACACACACACACACTCCTACCTTTGGACCATCCAAAGGACACACACACTCTGTATTGGGGGGGGGGGTTGGACACATACACACACATGGACACACAACACTCTTACCTGTGGAGGGGAGACCGGAGTGCACAGCACATGGAGCCGTGGCTGAGACTTGAACCCTGGTCCCAGAGTTGGGAGGCGACTGTGCTAACCACTGCACCACCATGTCACTTCCTTCAGGTTGCGTAAAATCACTAAACTATGTTCTTTTACTCTATTCAGGAAGAGGTTGGCCTAGAGACGGATGAGGACTGCAAAGTGAAAATTCCAGACATGTGACAGAAGATGTGGGATTTATGGCTGTGAACGCAAACAAAATGGGGGACATGACTGACTTTTTTCTGGACCATCTTATTTGTGTTCTGTGCTTATGGTATCAGTGTTGGGTTTTTGTTTTGTATTATACATAATGTGTAAAAAAAATTAAGACTTAGAAACAGATGTTTATTTGCAATTAGAAATATCAATACAAAAATATTTCCAAAGTTTTTTTCAAGAAACTGCCGTTTTTGGTTTTTTTTTTTTTACATGCACACAAACCCAATTTGAGAGATACAACATTCTATTTGAAAGACAGGACAATGATCAGATGCAGAATCCTTTACTTTAAAATCATACGGTACAGTACTGGTACTTAAAATTCGATCTTGCAGAACAATTATTGCAAGCGTCGTTTTACATTCTTTGCTTTAACAGCTGTGTCCGGGGCAGTGTGGGAGAATGAATCGATCACAGTATCCGTAGTGTCAGGACTGAAGGACACCCTTGCGGAAGGTTGCATGTCATGTCCGAGTCAATACAAGGCAGCAGAACGGCTAAGAATACACACAGTTAAGATTCTTACAGCCTTCACTTAAATAATAAAAACCTCTTACATAGGTCAAAAAAGAAAATACATGCTGTCACTCTCATTCTGTACATTTTACTGAGGTCTTAATATTCCACATAAACAGTCTACATGGATTGTGGTTTTTCCCAGTCAATGAGTTTCAGGCTCTGCTTCTGAGCACGTGTACACCCGCCAGCATGAAATGCATACATAAATGAACAAATATCCATACTTTTAGGCATAGGTGTGCTTATGACAGAGGTCAGGAGAATCCAGAAGGCAACTGGTGTTGAAAGACCGACGGCATTTCAGACCACCTCTCAAAAGTGTCTACGACGACATAAGCACTTCACGCAAAACTCCGTGCAAACAGAACACAACGATGGCGAGAGACCCACAGGCAAAAACACTCGATTTGTAACGGAGGAGAAACCAAGAACCCTGAAAGAAGAGGTTGAGTTTTTAAACACTCACCTGTGGACAAGGAGGTAACAACACCAGCCCTTGAGTCCCAAAATCCTACAAGCTTCCATAGTTTTTCTTTCCAAAGGTAACATTAGACTGAACAACACTGTCAGCAGGCTTCCAGAAAATCCTTACATCTTCCCTAAGTGTTTATCCTGGAAAGGATCCATCCAAGTTAACTTAGACTACACCGACCTCCCCCTTCTGAAACAGTACTCTGGCCAGGACGCATGTCTTCTAGAACAAAGGCTTTTGTGAAACGGGACTGAGCACTGAAGTGCTGGGGTTGTCCCTCTCCACTACACACGCTGTTCACCACCGTTTACCACTTAAAATACTGCAGTGGTGGTGAGGTGAGGACAGGTCACACACGTAGCATCGTCATGGCCTGGTCCGTCAGTAGGAGTGGCTGTTGATCTGCTGAAGGACCCCCACCACAAACTCCCGTAGTGTCTGTAAAGACAGGGGGTTTAACTTAAGCTATACATGACCCTTAGTCTTCCTTCGTTGCAATGAATTCAGGTGCCTTTAATAGCAATAACAGAGACTGTCTAATTAATTAATTCCACCAATGGTGTAGAGTTATCTGGTATCATTACCGTGTTTTAAAGACATTCCTTAATGAACGAACGAGTCAAACAGCGCAATGCACTTCTGAAGATTCATGACATAAAATTTATCCTACACGTTCTATAGTTCTGCCCATAATTGTAGAAAATCAGATCAGCACTGTCACCCTGGATAAAGGTAGGTTGAACTGTACCAAGGGAACACATCCTACACATTAACCCCCAACCCCAGCAGAGTGCAGTACCTGAGGTTTGCAGTGTTCCTCAATCCAGCTGAAGACACAAGCGGACAGCTCCTGGAAGCTGGAGAAGGAGACTGAGGCACTGAACGTCTGGAACAAGGAGTCCATGATGCTCTGGAACACGCTGAACTTCACCTGGTCTGAGACCTGCTCGTCTCCTTGCTGCGGATTGTTCTGGTGCGCCTGGACTATGTGCTCATAGTTCCTGTCAACACACACACCACGTCAACATCAGGCAGTCACCAAGATTAAGGAAGGGGGGGGGGGTCTGTTATACAGAGCATGGTGCTCAGTATTTGTCAAACTCCAGTCAAATTGAAAACGTATAAATAAGTAACAGAAAGTGGACACAGCAGGAATGACAGTGCAAAGGTTTTCTTTAGAGATATTAGTTTGGTGACCCAATCAATTACAAGACTCCACTAAACAGACAAACGCCAGAGCCAGTTCTCTTCCTCAGCCCTAATCAGGCCATCTCATCATTCTTCTAACAGCCAGTTCTGTCCGTCTTATCACAGTCATCCTTTGCCCAGTAAGGATTACATCACATCCTATTGACAGCAGTGTGCATTAGCGCGCTGTGCTGATGAACGCTGGTTTTCAGCCTCTCAAAGGGGATGAAGATATGGTCAGGCATGCCGAACAGGGCGGCCAAAATTTAAGTGATCGACTGCCTCACGTCTTCATGATCTTCAGTGCCATCACTTCCTTCCGCAATGTGGAAACTTCCTCCTCTTGCTTTTTCTTCTCTTTGTGCAGAAACTGGATGTAGTCGATTGCTGCATGAAGAACTTTGTTAAGATTTACAATACGCTTTCATGGAATTAAAAAAGTGGCAGCTATTTACACTGAACACCGAAATAACATAATTTCTTTATTTCTCACATCATCACATAATAATAAAAATGATAATTTAACAGCTAATTATGAACATATAATTAATAATTATGAAAAGACAAGTTAAATATACATTAAGATTTCTTAAATTTACAGGCCTAATACTACTCTTCTCCTGGTGATTATAAAACCACATTTATAAGGCTAATACAAGAAGAGAGAAACAGAAGGACTAACTTTTCTGAAGTACAGTAGCTTTGCTGATTTTCTGTGCTCCCACGGCAAACTCTGACTGTTGCTGACAAGTGGGAACGATTGACTGCAAGTCATCATAGCCTTTCTGCAAGGTGATCAGAGCAGAAATTCAACAGGTTTTGATATTGTCAAATTAAATCAGTGCACAGCCTTTGGAGAAGTTAACATCAGCCTGTGCGAGTGGTAACTGGCTGCAGCAAACCCAAAGTAAAGTTTTCGGTTTATAACATGCAGATATTTACTCAGTCATGGCTCCCCTGACTCACAGTAAGACATCAAGCAGCAGCGATTCACGATGCTACCCTCACCTTGATGGCGTCCCTGCGTTTCTGCTCAGCCTGCGTGTGCGCCTGCCTCCGGCGGTCTTTGTAGGACGGCTCATGCCGAGAGTCGCTGTCCTCATCGTCTGTGTTTGGAGAGCAGCCAACAGTGAGACGCATGACGCTTAGGGAATATCGGCCTTTCCTTTCTCATCCACAATGACGTAATGGTCACCAATCCTGGCACTTCGCATACCAGCACCTCCCTCAAGAACGAGCTGCTGGACCTGGACCCCATGACCACTGAAGGACCTGCCACCCAAAAGCAGGAGGTGTGCCCCACTAACACAGCACTGAGCTACTGCATCTTATATCTGGAACCTATTTACCTTATAGCAAGACCTGCAATAGAAATGATCATACACACACACACACAAATATATATATATATATATATATATATATATAGAGAGAGAGAGAGAGAGAGAGAGAGAGAGAGAGAGAGAGATTCCTACACATATACATAAAATCGCCTGACATCATAGGCTGTAGTGCTTCAGACATGGTGCCTAAAGCCTGTTGCTCCTCGTTAACAAAGTTCTGACGGCATCCCAAAGACATACTCTGTCTTAAGCCTCAACATACCACAGCGGAAACATACCCTTAGGAATTATCCGCAGCATCTCTAAAGTTCAGTGTCAGGGATACAGGTCAGTGCTCAGTGTCAAGCATATTTCCATCCATGTACTGAGGTGCCGTAAATAACCGCTTTAAGACATACCTGTGTTAGGCACTGAGGAGGCACTTGTGGATCCAATGCTGTTTGCTCTGGAGACTACAGAGCCTTTCCTTGCACTCTCAGCAAAGAAATCTGCAGATGATGATGTGTGAGTTTACAGTATAATAACAGAAGCATCCTGGCACTGAACAGTTTCAGAAAGGAGTCTGTAACTGAACGTCTTCCACAACCAGTGTGATGTCACAGGTGAACAATGCTACACACACAAACTGAATTCTTAATATTTATGAAAGCCTTCTCTCTTCATATCTAATAAATGCTTATAGAAGTTAGAAAAACATTGTTGTGGGGAAAAGATCCACGTAAAATTAAAGTGTGAAGAAAAGTGGTATACTCACTGTGGTCGAACCCGTTGTCACTAAAAGCGCCGTCCGCCTGCTTCTCCATCGCAAAGAAGGGACAGAAGACGTTTTAAAGAAGAGAATCAGAGCAGGACTGACAGGCGATAGTGAATATAAAACATTGCAAAACAGGAACCCACCGACACACCCCTCTCCCCCCGGTAGGACGGCGCAGGTGCTGTTAGGGGTTTGATTAAAATCCACGGGAGCACATTCAGGCGGCACAATGGCCAAGGAGGCCCATTATTTGCGACCCAGTTTGCTTTCATGCTGAAAATTACCATGTATGCATACAATGGGATAAACGGTCACTATTTACACATTGTAATAGCACACAGTAATAATAATTTTTACGGGATTTAGAATATGTTTTAACGTCAGTGGCGAGCCAATCCAGAAACAGTGACAGCTGATGTAGAACAACAAAGATGCCAATTTAAAAATAACTGTGAAATATCCCCGGTCCATTTCGTAGAGTAAATACATCGTTCTTACATTAACTGGACACTATTTTTGTCTCTTATTTGGGGATCTTGGTACCATTTGTCTCCCTGGCATAAACATATCGTTGCAGCAGCGACCATATGCATACATAAGCAGAAAAATATTTAACGACAGCAAGATCTGCAGTTTAAATCCCCTGTCTTTAGCATAGCATTGTCTTGTGCCCGGTTAATCGACTTGATTCACGCGACGTTGTCTGTTAGCCGCTATGCTAACTAGCATGACTGCCATTTGCCCACAGCGTACGAGCTGCTTTTAAAAGCTCCGCTTTAAGGACAAAGTAGGACTGTAAACTGCAGGGCTTATGCGGTGAATGTTATGTTTAAATAAGAATATCAGAATATACGTCAGCTGTCATCGGCCAAAGAGTAAACACAGTGTGATGCTAATGGTATACAGCAAAGAGGCCTCGGTTTTTGTCATCAACACTTAATGTGCGACAGAATTTAACTTTATATAATTTTTACGCCTGACAAGGCCAAATACAAAACTGTCAATGTGACATTATTTCTACCATTGTGTGGTATTTTCTGTAGGTTTCTTACTTTGTTCCAGGAGTCCTCCGGAGAAGCGCTCTGTTCCGTCATTTCCGAGCAGGTACGGGCATTACGGCACCGCAATGGGGAAACGCGCCGCCTATCGGCAGCACCTGGATCTGCACGTGAAGGGAGGCACTCCAGCGACGACGCTCGTCCAATGTTCCCACTGAGTTTGTCCCGGTTTGTTTCCGTTCAGCAGTGTCACAGTTTCACAGGCTCAGTCATCCCTATTTCATCAGTGTATTCACTTTATCGGTCTTAATCTTATTGCTAATTACTAATGACTAACTAATTATTATTATTACTGATTATTAATTACTTATTGCTAATTAGTCTTAGTATTGTCCTATTATATATATATATATATATATATATATATATATATACACTCACCTAAAGGATTATTAGGAACACCTGTTCACTTTCTCATTAATGCAATTATCTAATCAACCAATCACATGGCAGTTGCTTCAATGCATTTAGGGGTGTGGTCCTGGTCAAGACAATCTCCTGAACTCCAAACTGAATGTCAGAATGGGAAAGAAAGGTGATTTAAGCAATTTTGAGCGTGGCATGGTTGTTGGTGCCAGACGGGCCAGTATGAGTATTTCACGATCTGCTCAGTTACTGGGATTTTCACGCACAACCATTTCTAGGGTTTACAAAGAATGGTGTGCAAAGGGAAAAACATCCAGTATGCGGCAGTCCTGTGGGCGAAAATGCCTTGTTGATGCTAGAGGTCAGAGGAGAATGGGCCGACTGATTCAAGCTGATAGAAGAGCAACTTTGACTGAAATAACCACTCGTTACAAACGAGGTATGCAGCAAAGCATTTGTGAAGCCACAACACGCACAACCTTGAGGCGGATGGGCTACAACAGCAGAAGACCCCACCGGGTACCACTCATCTCCACTACAAATAGGAAAAAGAGGCTACAATTTGCACGAGCTCACCAAAATTGGACAGTTGAAGACTGGAAAACTGTTGCCTGGTCTGATGAGTCTCGATTTCTGTTGAGACATTCAAATGGTAGAGTCAGAATTTGGCGTAAACAGAATGAGAACATGGATCCATCATGCCTTGTTACCACTGTGCAGGCTGGTGGTGGTGGTGTAATGGTGTGGGGGATGTTTTCTTGGCACACTTTAGGCCCCTTAGTGCCAATTGGGCATCGTTTAAATGCCACGGCCTACCTGAGCATTGTTTCTGACCATGTGCATCCCTTTATGACCACTATGTACCCATCCTCTGATGGCTACTTCCAGCAGGATAATGCACCATGTCACAAAGCTCAAATCATTTCAAATTGGTTTCTTGAACATGACAATGAGTTCACTGTACTACAATGGTACAGTGTAACCGCACAGTCACCAGATCTCAACCCAATAGAGCATCTTTGGGATGTGGTGGAACGGGAGCTTCGTGCCCTGGATGTGCATCCCACAAATCTCCATCAACTGCAAGATGCCATCCTATCAATATGGGCCAACATTTCTAAAGAATGTTTTCAGCACCTTGTTGAATCAATGCCACGTAGAATTAAGGTAGTTCTGAAGGCGAAAGGGGGTGAAACACCGTATTAGTATGGTGTTCCTAATAATCCTTTAGGTGAGTGTATATCCATGACTACTCGTGTTTTATATGTGTATATATATGTACACACACACAAATATATATAATACATATATTATTTTATATATTGTTTATTTATTTTCTTTTTTTCTAATATGCGTCTGATAGCTATTTCAGTAGGAAATAAATGGGATTTAGGTCGCCAGTGGATTGAGCAAACTGGCCATTTTGCACTAAAGGACTTTCCGCTAACTAATGCAGACCATTTGACACCATTTCAAATCAATTTGGCCGTTTCAAATGGAAATTCTGCCCAGATGTAAGGTCAAAGCTGAAGAGAACGGAAAATAGAAAAATAATGAAGACATGGAGGAGGAAGGGGTGGTCATAATGGAAGGAGATGCAAGTGATGGCATAAAAAGAGAGATGGGGAAAGGAGGAAATGGGGGAGAATTATGAAATGTAGGACAAAATACACAGCAGGTCCAGAGAGGTGCAGGGCAAAGACAGACTGGGCTAGAGGCAAATCAGGCACCGGCGGTTCCTTCCAGTAGTGAAGAGTTAATTGAAGTCATAAGAACATAAGAACTATACAAACGAGAGGAGGCCATTCGGCCCATCGAGCTCGCTTGGGGTAAGTCGCTATTGTTCATATGTCATTTGGAAAAGATGTTATGGCTGAAGTGGGACAGAATATTTTGAGAATATTTTTAGCCACAGGAAATACAAAACAGAAAAGGGGGCAGAGCACAGAGGGGCTGCAGCCCCCGTAACAGTAGGTCACCTTTGGTTCCTGGGCGTCATACCTGCTAGTTGACCCAGATGAAGACCAGGGCAGAGCAGGTGTATGATCAGCATACAGTCAACACACACAGACCTTGGCTGAAAAAGGTGTGAAGATTAAGAAAATAAAGAGATACACCCAAGTAAAGAAGCATTTGATTAAAGTATGGTGATGAGCAACATCTTTAATGTGTTGCAATATTTTATAGCAGACAGCGGTAATTTATGAGAGCATCTTAGAAAGGCTGACACAAACAAACAGGTCAGATGACACCTACACTTTAAATGTAATATACATATCAAGAAATGGAAGAATTTTCTACTTAAGTTTAAAATAAAATACATTTAACAGGTTGCTTAATTATTTTGAAAACCTTGTGTGAAACACTCGAGGTAAAATTCTGCAGCCTATTCCAGAAAACATTGACACATGTCAGAGGGCCCCCAGAACATGGGAGGACTTCATTTAACCCATAAGGTTTCGGCCTACAGAAGGCAGAAGCCCATTCATATTCATACATATTGGTCCTGCGGGTTTCCTCTTTATGACACTGATCCTAACGGGAAATAGTTTCTTGCATGACACCACCCTGCACTAAGCAAGCCAGATTAGCCAACTGTCCATAAAGTAGTGATCCTGAGGTTACCAACGATCCAAACGCTCAGCTCTCTTTCTGCTACAAAGAGGAAGTCGCCTCTCTTCCTTTGTGGTTTTGCATTTGCTGTTGCAAACGTCTTATAATCTCCACCTCCTCTGCGAAACCCTCCTCTGAGGCAATCAAGCCAAAGTGAAGGTTTGAGAAGGTCACGCTGTGGCACTCCTATGCTGTTTGTCGTTCTGGCTACATCTTTGGTCTAGTTGAGGAACAGAAGAACAAGAGGACACCGGGAACATGCCGCTCTGCCTCAGAACATCACCCCAAAATGGTGAAGGTCCTGCGGAGAAGCGTGTGTCTCTTGTTTCAGCCCTTCCTGCTCTGCTTGTCTGACTGAGCCTCCAGCGCCTGACCGCCCCGCATTCTGAACCTGCCTGCAGAGCCGCTCAACTTCAGCTTTTTGGAAGGAAATTCAGCTTTCTGGATCTGGATTACTTGGGCTAGCGGGTCTTGAAGAGACTAGTGATGGGTAACGCTGCCGGTGGAATTGAGGCGAACCCCGAGAGGGAGGGCAGGGGCCTCTCGGATGTGTCCGCCTCAGCCCCATCACTGAGACAGCCCCCACCCCAAAAAATTCCCATGCCTCCTGAGGAGGAACTGGAAGAGCGCTTCAGTGCTGTGCTGGTGAGTGACAGAAGACGTCTGGATTTGGTCTGGCGTCGCTCGGTGCTCAGTACGGGGTCACGTCAATGTTTCCCAATCCAGGCCGCAGGGATGCACAGATATTCCACGTTTTTGGTCTTTCCCAGCTCCTGAAAGATGTGGATTGTCTAGCAGGGAGCTGAGAGGGAGCAAAAATGTGGACCATCTGTGGGCCCCCAAGGAACGGGTTGGGAAACACTGGATTACATAATCAGCGACACGTGTAATGACCTAACGTAGGACGTCTAAAGTGAACTATGTTTTCAATTTAATGAATTTGATAACTTACAAAACTAGCTAAATGTATTTGAAGTGATGTGTAACCAAGCTGCTATTCAGGAAGACTCAATTTGTTAAATTATACTGAACATTTTACTGACCTATATTTGCTAACAATGAGAGGAAAGTAAATCGAATTTTTCCTAGTAATGGTGCTGCACATAGAAACTAAAATATATACAGGTGCACATGACAGTGACGATTTTTTAAAGTTAGACATTTGATAATTTATCCAGTTAAATAGCTATTTTTGGAATAAATTTTGCTAGACTGAATGGTCCAATTTCCAGTAGTAAATTTGGCTGAAGTTCTTGTAAAAACTAGTATTTGAAGTTTGTGGTCTTCGCTTTATTCACCAAAAAACTGAAATTAAAGGGACACTGAAATTAGCGAGGGGATAAAATTTGGCCAGTAGAGTCTGTAGCAACTGTTGGGATGTACAGGGATGTACACGGACACACAGACATGCAGGTCGGCAAATATAAAAGGCTGGAGGTTTAGTTGCTACATAAAAAGAAATTTAAAAAACTGTAATCGGCCTTTAGTTTCCGTCATACTTAATTACAATTACTTCCCATGTGAAAAATTCTCAATTCATTAGAGGAAGTTAATTACCAGCCACATCTATGCCTTAAAATAAAAGTGTATTAAAACATATAGTTAAATAAACCCTGTAGTTACATTTTTACACGCCTGTCTTTTTCACCATTTTACCATTATTTTACCAGATTGTTTAGTTGAAAGTTATTTTTTTAAAGTTCTGTTTGAGCAATAGGCGTGCACCAAGCACTTCCTCTTTGTTCATCTCAGTTTTTCATATACAAACGTTCCGTCAACATTCGTACAGGAAATGATTCGTTCCAAATATGTCAAGACCATGTGTCCACAAATGGCGCTCAAACTACCCTTGGTTACTAGTTTTATTACTAGTCTTACTAGTTTTACTAGGGTCCTACTTTTACTTTTGTTATTCTTTAATGAGAATAGCGTAAATAATACTTGGATCCATCTACAGTTTTGACTTATGCACGTCCAGCATCCTGGTAATTTGTATGGATGACCAAAGTACAACTCCGGAAAAAAATTAAGAGACCACAGCAAAAATTTCAGTTTCACTAATTTCTTGATTTATGGGTTTGCACCTGTGTGTAATATACATAATTTTGCAAACTGCAACCTGGCTCTTCCCTGCTTCTCACTGAAGGGCTTCTTCCTTGTTTTATCGGACTTCAGTCCTGCTTCTAGCCTGATACGAACTGTCCTACCAGTGCACTTCACACCACTTAATGTTTCCCATTCCTTTTGAAGGTCATTTGAGGTCATCCTCTGATGAGGCACTGTCAGATAAGCTGACAGTCATCTCTGGCATTAGGAAGTTACTTCTGCCCACTGCCTGGCTGGTTTCTGGTCGTTCCCAGTGTCTCCAGCTTCACTTTGTTCTTGTGTGCTGCTGTCTTAGAAGCTTTGAGCCTGGGAGCAGCCTGACACGCAGTGTAGCCAGGATTAAACCAGGGTTAAAGCAGGATTTAAAAATGCAGATTTAAAATAAATATATTCATTCTTTCCAGGGCTGTATGTTTTCCTTATATCACTTCCGCTCCTCAGTACCATTGGATCAATATGAAACTTCACAAGGTAGTGAAAGCAAAGGAGGATTGAAAAGCGGTTCTGTGTCTCTTCCTGTTAAGGGGGACTGGCTGGACAGTAGGGGGGGTGTGAAGGTGACGTGGGATGTAGAACAGGGCTGCACTGGTGGGGGGGGGGGCGAGCGACCGCTGAGAATAGACCACTTTACGGTTGAATTCCTCTTTAAAAATAATTGCACCGTTTTAATTAAACAGTTTCAATTACAGGGCGGATACTTTTATTGAATCCTTCCTTTGAAAGTATATTTATGGCTGTTCTTGTGAGGTCTCAGTGAACTTCGTGTGTATATAATAACCTGTGTAACCTTACGCCGTTTTGCAGTCCAACACATGCGTAGCTGATGCCACTGAGAAAAGAGATTCTATGCTTAAATTTAACTGTATGCATTCATCCCAGGAGATTCTGGGGTGCATTATGAAACTGTGCGCTATATCTAATAACAACAATCACCTGAGGTTAAGTGCATATTCTTACTGTAAAAGACATTCTGGAAGACACTATACTTATTTATAGATGTGGAAAAAACCTGTAATATTCAAGATGCCACCTGACGGAGACACTGGCTGAGCTTTCAGGTGGGATGTGGTGACGATTCGTGGTGATGTGGTGGGAATGGGCCCAGACACACGGCAAGAGTGTGAGATGCCGTGACATGGTGACCACTGTGTGCTTCTGCAAAAAACTGTGTGCTTCTGATAGCAGCACCAGGCTAAGGGCTTAGGAACCGCTTATGCCTTCATCGTGGTCTGGGGCGCATGCACACGGCAAGCATTCCGCGATAAGCAATGGGGCCAGACAACGTGTCACAATGTCATGGGGAGGATGTTGTGCCATAGCGGAGTATACACATGATCGCACATGTCAACGCATCTTACAGGCCTGCTTTTAAAAGCCAAACGGGTTCACCGATCATATAAAACGAAAGCCTTGCTGCTTGAGTGTGCCTAACACTCTCAATGCCTCCACTCAGTCGGCAGTGAGATGCTTTGTACTCAGCACGCGAGAATCGGCCGTCATCTCAGGGCTTTCGTTTCACAGGGTCGCCGCGTTTCAAGAGTCTAATTTGGTTTCTTTCCGAGCAAACAGCAGATTTCTGTTTTCACACACAGAACCGGTACACTCAAGATTTGGCCGCCGCGTGCTGTCATTCAGCCGGCATATTCGACTTGAGTATTCATAGTGCCTGTTCAGAATAGTCTTTTTCAATTGTACTCCAACGTCTATTAGAGTTATGTTCTGTTGTTTGAGTGATGGGGCCGTGTAATATAACGTGGCAGTGTCTAGAACGTGCTAAGAACTTAGTGGATTTTTCTCTGAGGGTGTGAACGAATTAGATACCATTGCAAGGACATTGTGCATCAAGTTGTATAATCTTAAAATTTTAGGCTAACAGTTTTGGGCCGGGGGGGACATGCTGGAGTGGGGTGGGTAATATCGTAAGCTAACTTCAGGTTATATCATTTTATAGAGGCCAAATGACTGCTATATATCACGTATTTGCGTTCAAACCAGGCTATGTTGGTGGTTACGTCATCAGTCAATTCAGTTCAAAATACACAGTGTGGGTGGGACCGAGAGGAGGAGGTGGGGGCTGATGTTGTTTCCTCATCCGGAGGGGAGGGGTCCACACAGGAAGTGTGCTTCGTCTTCGTTGGTGCTGTAGCCTCTCTGTTCCTCCTGACGGTAATCCCTGAGCATGCGCCTTCCGTGGACCTGCTTTTTGGGCCTTATCACAATAGATCTGTCGCTAAACCTTCAGACTAGCTGAAGGACGAAGTGAGATTATTAATCGTTTACTAGTGTCAAATCAAAGTATAATATTGTCACCCCAGGTATTTAATTGGTATTAATGCTTTTGGTTTATGTACTCTGGGATTCTGACTGAAAGTTTCTTGGGCGTGAGCAATATAGATTACATTCAGTGCACCTTCATAATGCATTCATTATGCATTCATAGAACATTCAGTGCACCTTCATAATGCATTCATAGAACACTGATAAGCAGCATGAAAGTACACCTTAACATCCCTTAACAGCATTGATATACATTAATAACAAACATTACATGATTATACAATTATAATGTTTGTTATTAATGCATATTACAGCTGTTAAGGGATAGTTAAGGTGTACTTTCATGCTGCTTATGAGTGTTTTATGAATGCTTGATGAATCCATTATGAAAGAGCACTGAACATTTTATGAATGCAATATAAAGCATTATGAAGGTGCAGTTAATGTGAAGCGTTACCCGATATACTACAGAGCACACTGAGGATCGAATCAAACAGAGGGCATAGAAACAGAGAGAGAGAGAGACACACCCACCCCCTGGTGGACATGCACTGCTGAACGGAAGTGCTGCGTGTGCATTTGCTCGCTTCCACCCCACCACAACCCCCACACCCCTCCGGCTGCCCCACCTTAAACCCCTGCCACAGAAGTTTCAGCGCGGCCCCTGGGTGCTAAACGAAGCCACAAACCAGCCTGTTAAAAACTACACCCATGAGGAACATTCTTCAGATTCGGTGCACACCAAATATCTGACGATTCCGAAGAGCCAGCCAACAGCGTAGAAAATAAAACACAGCCATCACCTACATTTCACTGGTGACACACAGAAAGGACTGTCTGAATTACAGATGAATTACAGATGGCTAATCCCAAGATGGTAGGACAAGGATACACTAGGGGTGTTTCTCAATAGCAAGAAGGCAAAGATCGTACTTGTGTTCTTGCCAAGAGCGGTCTTGCTAACTTGCCACCCAAAGAATGAACTTGGGATGCAATGAATTATGGGATTGTTCTTGTTGGCGAGGATGCAACCAGAGAGCTGGACAGGAATGACATCCGGAGATTTTTACCGTCCTCCGGATGACGTAAAATGGGTGCGTGAGAGCTAAAATACGGTCAAAAGAGTGTACTGAGAAACGCCTACTAGGTCATAAGCTATGAGCAATTTAGAGGCAACAGTTCATCTAAAATGCATGGCTTTAGATTGTGGCAGGAAGCCAGAGTACCCAAGGGAAACTCATACAAGCACAGGCAGAACATGCAAACTCACACACGCACACAGCTCACAAACCTGGAGCTGTGAGGCCACAGTGCTGGCTTCCAAGTACTCACGCCATGTAGGGATGAGAATTACAGTCATAATGAAATCCATCACAGGACAGACAAAACTGGAAAATCCATTTTGTAATTGTAAATTTGTCCAGGAAACTGTGATGGTGCTCCGCTCCCCTGTATCCATTCTGGAATCACTCCGACCAGCTCACAGTACGATAATGATTTTGTCCATTGATGCTTCTTGTTTAGAACGCATCATTGTTGATTTAATGTATTTCGATCGGTTATTAATCGTTATTAATGTTATTGAATTCTCTATGGGGTGGTTCGAAAAGAACGATTCAGACTCAGATAGATGGATAGTGTGTTGCCTGGATTCTAGATTTCTCTGGATTCCTCCCCAACTCTAAGTACCTAACACAGAAGCCTGGAGGTCCAAATATTAACTCCCTGGCTATCAAGAGAGACCCATGTTTCCTTTACAAAAAGGCAGCAACAGATAGGTTTGAATCAGATGTGTAACCCAATGAATAGATGTGTGTTTCCCTATATGTAACATCTATCAACTTTTATTTAGTTTTTACATAACTTATTGCACACAGAAATAGGATCTTAAACAACAAGCATGTTATTTGGTAGTGTTCTTGATTGTTAATGCTGTCTGATATGTCTCCTGTTTAAAATGTGTTATTTTTTTAATTACATGGTCAGTATCAATGAACACTGTGGGTAGTTCTGAGGATGGAAACATAATTTAGAAAAAGGTACCACATTTTACCTACATCCATCCAACCTAGCGGAACACCGCGGATGCACACATTTTTGCTTCTGTTCTCGCTTGAATAAATTACTTCAAAGTCTGACGACAATCATCTTATGATGTACCTTCACAGAGCTCGATGAACCTACCGCCCGACAAAGCTAAGCTTCTCTGCCAGTACGACAGCGAGAAGAAGTGGGAGCTGGTCTGTGATCAGGTGAGACAGATATCCCGCTCTTTTCCATCAAGCTCCTGTCTCACACCTGTTCTGCAGAACTTGATGGTCCAGTCCACCGATGGCTGTGCCTATGGCTGTGCCTATGGCTGTGCCTATGGCTGCCCCTCAGTGTAGGTCTCCACATCTGGACCAGCTCTGATACGACTGAAATCAAATGCCCAGATTAGCAAAGGAATGGATAAGTACGTTTCTGCAGTTAAGCCAGATTTGACTCAGAAAGAAAGCAAAGTGCTGAGTGTGAAGTATTCAAGCGAGTCCCCAGTTGCTATGTTAAATACAGACATCTGCTTAAATATATAGCAAACATCCATTCATCCATTTTCTATACCCGCTTGTTGTAGGCAGGGTTGTGGGCAGAGCCTAGTAATGTATAATTATCACGAGGCACAGAGAGCTGGTCCTGTGAGGGCTGGTCTTCCCTTTTCTATATACCCACGTATTATGAATCCAATCCGCAAAATATACCAATGAAAAATATACCAGCAAAATATACCAAAGGGGACCTGTCCTTCCGGTCGGCTGCCGCTTAACTGCACATTCCGGCCAGTCATTTCTTGCACATCCACCCGAGTTTGATATTGGGGCTCCGCTTAACATTTTTAAATACTAAGGTTTGTTTATTTGGGGGTAAGAATGAATCCAAGTCTCCCCAGTCCACCCCAGTTCCTACACCCCTGGCTATCATCATATACAGTATCTTGACATAATATGGTGATGTATTCTTATGTATGTGGGGGGTAGAAATGGTGATGAGGAGGAATTGGGGAAACGCGAAGTGTCGACATCCTGTGTGGTTTCTGATTACATCATGGTGTGGTTGCTAGGTAACCCATAACAATTCTGCCATAGGTTTATCAATATTGTCTGCTTCCATGGCAACGATACAGGTTTACTGCTTTTGGTGTGGGTGTTGGTGGTGATGGATTGTATACAGTACCTATGGTTGTTACAGCAGTAGAAGGTTGCGGTTTTACTTGTAAAGGTTTTCCCCTGTCGGAATTCAGAGACTATTCACATCTTCACTCATGTTTCTTAATCCTTACATCAAAAACACTGTAGGTGTCCAATAGTCATGCTACGATTATACCTCACACTTCTGTGTTTAGCAAAGGGGCATTTCTCTTTAAAGGTTTTGTTTAACCTTATAAACAGGAGCGGTTCCAAGTAAAGAATCCACCCTCTGCCTACCTGACGAAGATTAAGGGTTACCTGGATCAAGGATCTCGCAATGTAAGCATTATAGAAACATTCATGAACTTAAGTTCACTCTGCTCTTCTTTTGATCACCATATTTCCCAGACCTCATTTTGATGAAATGTGAATTATTCCCAGAATTTTTAGGGAAAGGTTTGTTTAAAAGCTGGTGTAAAAATGCAGTTTTCCCCAGAGAAGGAATGTCAAAAATCAGCCCAAAGGTCCCCAGAGTTTTATGCTTTGTTTTGATTATATTTAACTCCTCCCCAACCTGATTCCTCCAGCCAATCATCTGTGTTTCTTGGCTGTGTCTGTTCTAGGTGAACTAATCCCTACCTCTGTAACATTGTGCATCATGCATACATCATTTACATGCCACAAATAACACATCAATCCATGGAAGTCCAGTAAAGTTTTGTTACACCACATTTTCATAATTGTTGTAGGGAAATATTCAGAACATTCTGCCGGGTAAAAGTGTGAGTTTCTTCGACTTGAAGTGTTACGGATTAAAAATGAAAACACAGCGATGAGTTCAATAAAAATGTGATTATTTCAGGGTTGCCAGCTCTCACACATCTGGCTTGACACTCGTGCTTTCAGACTCTCAGACTCACACAAGAAGTCTTACGGCAAATCTATATTATTCCATTAAAAACTTAAAATCAAAAACGTTGGGGCAGTTTGTAAACCTTACAAACTATTTACAAGGTAATAAAACTCTTACATACATGTAAATGTGTGTGCAGACTAGTCTTGGATTGAAAATCTCACGCCAGCCAGCTGACCAAATTGGGCAAAACTGTTACATGAATCTGCAGCCTTTTCGGAGGCTGTTCTGTCAAAACATTTGTGCCATATCGTGACTGGTGCTGTTATCCCACAAACACAATGCCAAAGGTGTGGTCTTTATCGCACCAGTGGTACACCAAGGCTAATTAGGAAGGTTAATAAGGATCTTCCCTTTTAAAAAAATATGTCTAAAATCTTGCTTACTGCTCACCTATTTATCACTGTCTTGTATTAGTTCAAAACCCGTGTCAAGGAGTCAACCCAAGTCTTGAGGGAATTGGAGATCTCTCTCCGCACAAATCACATTGGGTAAGAAAGTAGCTAAAATAATTTAACCCAGAGCTCAAACTATTGACTGAACCCTAAAATTGACTGTTTCCAGTTTCACGCAAATTATAATGTATCAAATTGCCAACTGCTTCCTGTCTAAATTCCGTTGCCCCTTTTACACAGTTGGGCCCAAGAGTTTCTCAATGAGGAAAACCGAGGTCTCGATGTCTTGGTGGATTATTTGTCGTTTGCTCAGTGCTCCGTTACGTAAGTATTCATTTGACATCAGATTTTCACGTTTCTCAGTTTCTCTTGGGTGTCATGCTAAACTGCACAAGCAGGAAAAAGTTTTTTTTTCTCTCAACCGTTAAAAGTTGTGAGACTGGGTGTGGCTCTCCTGGGAGGAGGTAAGGTGACTGAAGTGCGCTCATTTTTATCACCAACTTCTTGTCTGCACGTCCTATTTGTTGTGTATTTCTTTCTCTCAGTCCATAAATATATAACCATGATTCTTTCGCTCTTCTTCTCGTTCTCTCTGGCCCCAATGTTTTGATCGCCCCATCTCAGCCATATCTGAATAAACCCCTTTTTTCCTTTCATAATTACGTTTCTGTTTGTTGGAATAGTCATGGTTTTAAAATGGCAACTTCTGTTCCCAAAACTCACATCCAACACCTGAATAACCATTCACTGAAATTATGGTTCTTATACTGGTCTAATGAGGAATGTCACGTACAAAATATGTACTTTTTATTTTCATGGAAGTATTTTTTTCCATAAAGAACAATGAAATGTTCAGAAACTAGTGATTTTTAGGTAAGTAGCGCTAAAGTAAAGACTTAACTAACAGAACATGATCAGGTATCGATAAATAATAACTTTATTATGGTCCTTGGGTTGCCTGACCCTCTTGCCCAAACTATTAAAAGTGCCCCCCCTTTTGAGGTCCTGAGTGTCCTTTTTTAATCACTGCTGATCACCGACTTAGCAAACTGCAACCCAGCGGAAATTTGTTTTGGTTTGCCTGCAATTTTTTGTTTTGTTTGGTCAGCAATTTTTACCGAGGGAGACCCCTCCCCCCAGTTAAGCACCTGACCCTCTGCATTTCCCTGAATAACAATGTATTAATTATCGATCGTTCCCATTGTGTTTATTGATGCGCATGTTTTTACGCATTCCTCTGCTCATGTGCATGTTTGCAGGCATGACATGGAGAACTTGGATAATGGCGGCATGCAGGCAGACAAGAGTAAGGGCATAGAGAAATCGATCGAGGACCTGACCGGGCTGACCAGCCTCTCACCCGGCAACAGCATCTCCAAAGTTACCCGTGCCATCACCGTCCGGTGGGTATAGGCCAAGCTGACACCTCTATGCATATACATACTGTACTACATTTACAGTTTTACACATTTACACATTTAGCACTTCAAAAACATAAGCACTGTCAATGAGTCAACTAGGCTAAGCGCTGAATGCTGAGCTTCCAGTGAATGTACACGTATAAGTACGAGCAGTACTGGAGCAGGAGCTACAGAAGAACATTCAGGGAATGTAAAGAGGCATCGGGCTTGTAGAGGAATTCATGGAACAAATGGGTCTTGAGTTGTTTCATGAAAGTGGAGAGGGAGCTCAATCCGCCATCGGGGAACCACACAAGAGAACCACCTGGAGTGACATTTCTCACATGGTGGATGGAGCTCCAAGCAGCGCTGGTTTTGCTGACCAAAGGGGGGCAAGATGGGCGATAGGGCTTCTGATGGAGATTGGTAGCTGTCCATTGATGCACCTGCCAGCACCAAGGACTTAAATTTGATTCAAGGGTCAATAGGGAGCCAGTGAAGACAGACAAGGAGGGATGTGACTGTTCAGGTTGAATAAAACTTAGACTGGATGCACAGTCTATGTGTGACTACAGTCTATGTGTGTTTCACTGAACTGCCTCTTTTTTTTTGTCTGATGTGCTGTTCCTAAGTATGATCATTGGAAATAAAAAAAAAAAAACTTGCACCAAAGCATCTCTTGAGCTCTGCACCATGCATGGTGGCTGATGCAGGATCCTGCGGTGGCATGTCGTGGTAGATGTAGCGTCAAGGCAGGGTTACAGAGGTGTGACTACTTCAGATATCAGGTCCTCCACCCTAAGGTTATTAGAAAAGCATATAACATATTGTTTAACCTTGTACTGTTCGTCTCTTAATATGCTACTTCTGGAAAAAGTCATCCCGAGATTTAAGAAGCTAGGAAGGCCTGTTTAGGTATAAACAGGCAGAATATATTTAGTGGTTGAATCAATGTGTGCATTTGAGACACAAAACCTGTGTAACGTAACCGCCGACAGACAGTAACTCTATTCAGCAATATAGAATGCGACACAAATGTTTGCAACGTGCAATTTGCATTGAATTAGCTGCAAATGAGTCCAGACATTCATGGCATGGTACTTATATTACTTGTTACGGTTCACTTCGAAAGCTTAATCAGACGATTATACGGGTTCCAGTGAGCCAGGAACGTATCCCAAGCTGCACAGGACAGAGGCAGGGAAGGCAGGAAACAGCCTGGAGGGGGCGCTATACTGGGCACACAATCGCAAATTATGAGCAATTGCAATTTCACGTGGGAATGGAAACCTGGATAGCAAGAGAGTAACCGTAACAAGTAATATAAGTACCATGCCATGAATGTCTGGACTCATTTGCAGGGACTCGTCCCCCGTGAGCAAACGCTGACCGCAGACTTCCTGTCCCCACCTCCAGGTTAAGTGGCCACTCTCCCAGCAGGAAGGCGCTGCGGAACTCACGCATCGTCAGCCAGAAGGACGACGTCCACCTCTGCATCATGTGCCTGCGCGCCATCATGAACTACCAGGTGTGGGGGGGGGGGGTGCAGGTTTTTAGGGCAGAGGTCACTGCATGTGAGCATCACTTTGTGTATCTACAGTAATCATGTGATTAGTGATCAGCTGATTAGTGTGAGCACTCTGCAGAGAAGCTGTATCAACTGTGTCTAAAGGATCGTTTTGTGTACAGTTTGATGCCTGTGTACAGTTTGATGTCTGCATTGTGGGCTACCAGGGGATTATCCATGGGGCTGAGATTAGCCATTATTGGTAAGAGTTGGGGTTAGTCAGTCTCCTCACTTTGTTTCGAAATCAGTTACTAATTACAGCAATTCAATAACCTGACGGCACTCCTTCCATTTCAACTGGAATTTATCGCCTACGGTTAATTGAAACGGTGTCTGGGTAAGGGTGAGGTATCTATGGTGGACTTTGCCTGTGTGTTTGGACTGGTAAGTCGTTAACGCCTTACTTAAGGCCAGGTTTTTAGTAATTTATAAACACATTCATAACAAATAATAATGCAGTTATAATGCATAATAAACATGGCTGTAACGTTATGACTTTTTATAAAGATTTATAGCCACGTTAATAATGCTATTTGAATGCATTATAATGCATTACGGATCTGTTTATTAATTACTAAAAACATGGCCTTGAGTCTGTGTGTGTAGCAAGCAGAGCTATGTGACTGACTGACAGACTCGCTCTCTCTTCTGCAGTCTGGCTTTAATCTGGTGATGACCCACCCTCGCTGCGTCAACGAGATCACGCTCAGCCTCAACAACAAAAACCTGAGGTATCCTTTTGTGTCTGAGGTTCACTGCATCTCCTAAATTAATTCCGCATTACAGACACTGGCTTAAAACTGTTTTAGGATGATAGGGTAAGATCCTTATCGTAATTTTGTGTGAGCTAGAGAGTATACTTATTAATTACTTATTAATTAGTTATTTTAATTATTTCATTTCACTTTCAATAGTAACCTCAGAATTTTTATATAGTCTTTAAAAAGTTATTTGTTTAATAAAGGAAAAATGAATGAAGTCCAAGGTAACTGAAACAATATCTGATTCAAAAAAGTATAATTATAGTGTATGTATATACACGCACGCACACGCACACGCACACAGACACATGCAGGCAGTCCCTGGGTTACGAACGGCAAACTTATGGATATCTCGTGCTTACGAATGGGAGGCCATAAAGCCTTTTGTATTAAACATTTGTCTTTATGACGCTCGTGAACACATTGCGCAGTTTCAGCAGTTCGATGTAGATTAGGTTTATATTACATTGTGGGGCTCAAACGTGCACCACAATATCATAAAAACCTGTTATTTTTGACGTTGTGGGCACCATTTTTCAGGTCCCCACAAAGATCTGTGAATGCAATCAAAACATTGAAAATGCCAAAAGTCTCATATTTTGTTTGGTTACTTATGGTTAAGGTTAAGGCTGGGTAGGGGTTAAGGTCGTCATGTTGGGATTAGAGTGCTCCCCATAGAAATCAATGGAGAGTCCCCACAAAGATATAATTACAAACCTGTGTGTTTGTGTGTCTTTGGGTGTGTCTGTGTGTGTGTGTGTGTGTGTGTGTGTGTGTGTGTATACACCCACACATGATGATATATGGGTTAACACCAGTTATATACTATTTTTCTTCTGTGCAGGACTAAAGTGCTTGTGTTGGAGCTCCTCGCTGCTGTGTGTCTGGTGCGGGGAGGGCATGACATCATCATCGCTGCCTTCGATAACTTCAAGGAGGTCGGCAGATCTGCAGAGTTACTGTGTGGTTTTGTCACGTTGACGTCAAACTGCTGACTATGTCATTTATATCGATCCCACAACCAGTGCATTGAGTGGCCTCTACTGCTCTGTGTGTTGGGTTCACAAGCTCGCTCTGTTTTTGTGAGGGTTTCCTCCAGCTACTATGGTTTCCTCCTGCATTCTGAAAACCCACAAAAAGGCAAAGTGGCATCCTTGAATTGCCTATAGTGAGGGGAGTGCTTCATCTAGCATCCACCCCTCAGACCTTAATACAAATACACATCCCAGAATTTATGGCTGTTCTCAGAATTCCAGTTCATTTCACATGTAAACAGGCTTTAATCAAATCACATTAAAACAATGTTTCCCAATTTGGTCCTTGGGGAACCACAGACAGTCCACTTTTTTGCTCCCTCCCATCTCCCTACCGGGAGCAAAAATGTGGTCTGTCTGGCAGGGAGCTTGGAGGGAGCAAAAACATGGACCGACTGTGGTTCCCGTGGACTAGATTGGGAAACACTGCATTACAAAGTTAAAGCTTATGGTTCACGAGGGTGAACTGGTATAAATAATACCAGTATCAAGTATCAGCATAATTCACAGCCAGTGCATTCAGGTACTGAACATCTATATATCTTTTTTCTTTCTCAGGTCACTGGGGAGAAGAATCGCTTTGAGAAGCTAATGGAGTATTTCTATACTGAGGACAGTAACATAGACTTTATGGTAAGTACACAATCCGGGTTGATTGCTGCGAATACTGACGAGTGAATAAGTGAACTAGCAGTATCGAGTCAGGTTAGTCAGGACTTGGCCAATCAGCTTTCAGCTCGGGCTGCTTCCCCTGTGGCCCCGCCCCTGCACCTTGGCTATTATCTTGTTTCACCTGATGAGACACCAGGGAGGTGCACTGATTTGGAGTGAATTTCACCGAACGCTGATACATCAAACACACTGAAAGTAAACCGAATAAATTACCACTTTACTCTCCTTTATGCACTCAAGGGAGGGAGGTGTCAAATACTGACACCTCCCTCCACCTGTGTGACGCCCCCCACCTTTCTACTCCTCTCCTCCAGGTGGCATGCATGCAGTTCATCAACATTGTGGTCCACTCGGTGGAGAACATGAACTTCCGTGTGCATCTGCAGTACGAGTTCACACAACATGGGCTAGACCAGTACCTGGAGGTAAATTTTGAAAAGACTGTTTCAAACTCACCCCAGGTTGAAGTTGGGGGCGTTTTGCTGATGCCTCCCACATGCTCCACACGTACCTGCAGCCGCGCATTTGTGAACGTACACTTGTGGCCGTCCATCCGACAGAAACTGAAGGACACGGAGAGCGACAAGCTGCAGGTGCAGATCCAAGCTTACCTCGACAACGTGTTTGACGTCGGTGCGCTGCTGGAGGACGCCGAGTCCAAGGGCGGCTTTCTGGAACACGTGGAGACAATGAGGGATCACAATGCACAGGTGCATCACGCACACCCAGATAATTCTACATGCACGTGATTCTGCATAAACGCAAGCTGCATTTCTGCCAGAGGATGAACTTAAAGGATCAGAATCAGAATACTTTTATTATCCCGGAGGAAACTGTTTGGTAACACTCATGCATAATGCATTATAGAAACCTTCATAATACATAATAATGCATTCATAAAGCCTTATAAACATGGTTATAACTATTTATAAGAAGGCATAACACATTACAGCCATGTTTATTATGCATTATGAATGCTCTATGAAGCTTTCATCTATAATTGTTATAGATGGTATAATCTGAATTGTTTCAAGTATATTGAAATATTGAGATTGAAAAGTATATCTCACCTTGTCAAACAAAAATACCACTGAAAAGTCACTGACTGGCGACAACAAAATACCATACTGAGTAAACATAAATGCAGAGACACTGTACAGCAAAAGCAGAAACATTCACACACCAAATCCTGTTGCTGTGGTTCACCAACAGATACACAAGCCCAGACTGTATTCACATAGATATGTATGAATAGACATGAATGATATTTATGGAAGGACCAACAGAATATGGTCATTTCTAATACAGCGGGGTGACATATGGGCGTCCCCTAAGCATCATGGGAGTGGGTCATAGTATCTCACCGCAAACCAAAAATAATGGTGGGTCACTCCTCTGTCGGCTGTTCCCCGTTGTAAAGCATGTTGTTGCCTGGGCACCTCTCTTCTGCGGTGCCTGGTTTTTCTTGTTGCTGCGCTGCAGCTGATGGCCAGGCTAGAGGAGAGCGAGAGGGAAAGCAGCGAGAAGATGGCAGAACTGGAGAAGCAGCTGATGCAGGCCACCAAAGAGAATGAGATGCTGAAGGTAACGGCCAATGAGGAAAAGCTATTGAAGGTCACCTGACATAGCAGCTGACATCACAAATGTAAAAATAATAATAAAAACACTCTGAGTAGCTCAGGTGGTAAATCATCCCTTCTTAAGCAGCACATCTCAAATAGATTAACTCTGGGCTCTCAAAAAACATATAGCACTGCACAGGTGCCCTCCACTGGCCTGTCAGGAGATTGCAGGCTTCTGGTTGCCAGGATCCTTAGATGCTTCGTCCCTGTAATTGGTGTCATGTGATTCGGTGTCAAACAGAAAGCTGACTGGTGGGAAAGTGAGTCAGTGGAGCAGATTTCAGCTGCTCTTTGGTCTTGGCAGGTATAGAGGTGTCATCCACAGCCAGCTGTCTTTCGGAATCTGAAAGAACAAAAGAGGGAACAAAATTAGAGCAGTAGCAAGAGCTTAAGTGTGCAATCTTGTGAAAATGTGACTGCAGCATGTAGCAATTGTAATGTGATGACCAGTATAATTCCTTAATGCATTTCTTTTCAAATGTTTTGTATTTGTGTGTGTTTGTGTGCATGGGACAGGAAAACCTGCGCGACTCCTGCACGCAGGTCAGCACTCTGCAGCAGCGGGAGCGGGAGCGGGAGCTGAAGCAGGAACGGGAGCGGGACAGGGATCGGCCCTCCCTGGTGCCGTCTGAGCTGGAACTCAAGGTGCTTGAGCTGCAGGACCGGGGCCTGATCCACATGCGACGCTCCTCTTCCGGGGCCCTGGACATCGAGGTGATTCCTGTCACCATCGTGGAGCAGGTGCTGGTACCTGCCAGTGAAACAGGTATTCGCCAAATCCTCTGGAGTCATGGCTGCCTTCCCGTTTATGATAAATCAATTTGTTGGAACAAATCTTGGGTAATGCTTTATATTAATTGAACCCTGTTAATGCATTCATTCATTCAGTGCACCTTCACAATGCATTCATATAACATTCAGTGCACCTTCACAATGCATTCATATAACATTCAGTGCACCTTCACAATGCATTCATAACATTCAGTGCACCTTCACAATGCATTCATAGAACATTTAGTGCTCCTTCATAATGCATTCATAGAACATTCATAAGTAGCATGTAAGTATTCCTTAACATCCTAACATACCTTAACAGCTGTAATATACATTAATAAACATTATATGATAATAGCAAACATAATTGTGTAATCCTATAATGATTGTTATTAATGTATATTAATGCTGTTAAGATACGTTCGGATGTTGGCATTATATGATTGTACGATTATGTTTGCTATTATGTTTGTTATTAATATATATTAAAGCTGTTAAAGTATGTTAAGGATACTTTCATGCTGTTTATGAATGTTTTGTGAATGCATTATAGAGGCATTATGAAGGCGCAGTTAATGTAAAGCGTAACCAAATCTTGTTCATCATAGGTTGTATTAACCATAGTTAAATAATTAGGGAAATCTCTGGTACAGTCCAGCTCCAATACTCACTCAGTCCATTACTTGTTGTTTTAGAGATGGGACCGCCAATGATCTTAAGTCAGGCTTCCTCATCATACGTTACAGAATTCGGAACCAAAACTCACTCAGTCCTCATGTTATCCAGTGAAGACCTTTCATTAAATCCCCAAGACTCACGAAGTCCACTGGATTTTTTCTCGAAAACGTATCCCGTGGACTGAGTGAGTTTTGGGGATTTGCTCTTTAGTTGTGGAACTGCGAGTCTAAAACCAAGACAGCTTATTAGCTACGGCATTTCCTGATATAATTTTGTTAAAATTTAGAAATGAAGCACTTTTCTGCAATGTGCTTATTACTGAATTTTGTTATTTTGTTTGCTTATCCCCCCCCCCCAGCTCCATCAGCCCGTCCCATCCAGGACACACCCACTCTGCTTCCACCCATTTCAGACCTGCCACCTGCACCTCCTCCCCCCCCGCCACCCCCTCCCCTGCCGGGTGAACCAGAGCCCACTGGAACAGCCCTGCCTCCTGGTCCTCCTCCTCCACCTCCCCCTCCTCTGCCTGGAGGAGGACCTCCTCCACCCCCACCACCCCCAGGGGGAGGACCTCCTCCACCACCTCCTCCCCCTGGGTGCGGACCTCCTCCACCACCTCCTCCCCCTGGGTGCGGACCTCCACCTCCACCAGGGGCCCCACCTGGTGGAAGCGACACTTCTGGTAAGCATGTTATAAAACCTGAGACACCTGGTCTTCTCACAGGCCTTGATGGAGCCCCAATACTTCTTAAATTCAAACAATCATGCAGACATAAAAATACACAAAATAAACATAGACTATAATTCCCCACGGCTGTATCCCAATTGACTTTACTAAGTCCGAAACGACTTTGTTAGTTTGTAACAAGTGTGGTAAAACATCAAAAGGATACAGTTCTCAAGGAGCCAACTTGGGTACAAGTGCTACAAGGCCAAGCATCCAATGACTGAAATGATTCGAGTGCAAGCTGTGGGAAAAGGCCTATAAGAGCGCTGCTAATAACTCCATGTCATCGACGTTGCTTGTCCAGCTTCTGAGTGTTGGCTAATCCCCGGATTTGAAATGAGACATTTGGAGTTTCTTACCGGTGCATGTGGGTCCACATCCTGACAGGAGCCAAAGGCAAGAAGCCGATACAAACCAAGTACCGCATGCCCCTGCTTAACTGGCAGGCCCTCAAGTCCAACCAGGTGACAGGAACCATATTCAACGAGCTGGATGACGAGAACATTCTACAGGTAAGACACCCACACCAGCACGTAAACTTGCACTGACTTGCATTACTGGCTAAACAGATTATGCTCTTATATCAACGAATACACGCAAAAACCAGAATAATGATGGTCATAATACGTTTGACCCTTTACAAGTTATCTAGACCAGTGTTTTTCAACCCAATCCTGAGACCCCCAGACGGTAAACGTTTTTGCTCCTGCCCCAGCTCCCAGCCAAAGAGTCCAAGGATTTGCTCCTTCCAGGAGCTGGGAAGGAGCAGAAACATGAACTGTCTGGGAGTCTCCGAGGACCTGTTTGAGAAACACTGATCTAGACTCTTCTTGTTACAGTGCTTGTATGTTGCTTTTCTGGGTAAGACCATGTGGTAGCCCAGTGTTCCTCAATATGCCCTGATAGGAACTGAACATGGAATCCTTCGAGGAACAGTTCAGGACTAAAGCCCAGGGACCCACAGTGGACCTGAACAAGAAGAAGGTCAAAGCAACCAAGAATGTTCCAAGCAAAGTGTCTCTCATCGAGACCAACCGGGCCAAGAACCTGGCCATCACTCTGCGGAAGGCCGGAAGGAGCGCGTCAGACATCTGCACCGCCATTGAGACGTACGATTGCCCCATCTTCACACTCTCTGAAACATAACACTTTATGCCGCCATTGAGACGTACGATTGCCCCATCTACACACTCTCTGAAACATAACACTTTATGCCGCCATTGAGACGTACGATTGCCCCATCTTCACACTCTCTGAAACATAACACTTTATCCTTCCCTTTATTTCCTTCCATGGTTTTCCCCCTTTTCATACTGTCCCATCAACCCAATTTCTTTCCCTTTCATAAATCTTCAAAACCTTTTCTTTCATTCTCCCCGTTCACTTGTCCTACCTTCTTTACATGCAGGTGTCAATCCCTCCTGCACATCCCTCCGATTTCATTACATTATTTTTGGTCAGGAAGACATTTTTATCCATCGACACGGTTTAATTCAACTCCTCTGCTCTATTATGAGTCGCGCTTTTGTGTTTTTATAACTGCACGCACCTTTAACTTTCAGATGTATTGTATACATCAAGGAAGTTACATTTTTCTTTGCTATTGTATACATTTGTATTTTATTGTATTGAGAATGTTTTCAGCTTCACTTAACAATGAGAAGCACCCAGGGACTACGGATGAAAACTAGCCTTTTGGTTAACTCTGGGATATTAAGGGTAATGTTATCATTGTCCATTGTATAATATTTTCATTGTCCGTGTCAAGGCCACGGTCTGAAATACATTTGATGGGGTGGCCATCAGCCCTACCGATGGGTTCATTCAGTAGATCTTGCTGAAGGGGTGGGGGTTCAAACATGTGATTTTACGACCTGTCTACGCACCTGGTCTGTCAAGTAAATCAATAAACAAATAAAGTTACTAAACACCCCCACCCCCAGATATGACCAGCAGTCGTTGAGCCTGGACTTCTTGGAACTGCTGGAACGCTTCATCCCCACCGACTTCGAGATGAAGCTGATGCAGAACTACGAGCGAGAGGGCCGGCCGCTGGACGAGCTGTCCGACGAGGACCGCTTCATGGTGCGCTACGGGAAGATCTCACGCCTGCCCCAGAGGATCAGCACGCTCACCTTTATGGGCAACTTCCCTGAAAGCGTGAAGCGCATACAGCCGGTAACCCTGACCTCTACAAATACCACTGGGCTCACATCTGTTACTGCTTCCTTGAAGCACCACTTCATTTCATTTGTGCCAGCCGCTTAAGAATATCTCAGGACTTGAACGTAAATACAGGCCCTCGGGTTTAAATTTAGTGCCGCTGATTTACACACCAGTCCAAATATCAAGAGTAGCTCAATAAATCGTTCCTGTTTTAATAACAGTTTAAAAATAAAAGGAGTCATAGATTATATTACGTATCATCAGTCTGACTTCTTTCTTCTTGTTTTCAGCAACAGAATGCCATCATTTCAGCATCGATGTCCGTTAAATCTTCAGCGAAGCTGAAAAAGATCTTTGAGGTGAGCACATGGGCGTGCACCGATTGCTACCATATGAACATCAGGCAGACCGTAGGGCCAAAACACCAGCTTGTCTCTTCTCTTTGTTCTTGTCAGATTGTCCTGGCCTTTGGGAACTACATGAACAGCAGCAAACGAGGAGCAGCATATGGTTTCCGTCTGCAGAGCTTAGATATGGTGAGCATCACTTGGCAAGAAAGACTCCCTCAGGCCCGGAGCTAGCTAAATGCTCCAAGGGCTTGCAATTTGTGTTATTCAGAAGTTCTCGCTACCATGGATATCAAAAATGCATGCTACTCTGACCCCAGTCCAGTACGGAAGCTGATTCTGTGGTTTGTCCTCCCCCTTCTCACCTGTCCTCTCAGCTGATGGACGCAAAGTCGACAGACCGCAAGCAGACTCTGCTCCAGTTCATCGCCAACATCGTCCACGACAAGTATCCAGAGCTGAACACCTTCCACACAGAGTTGCACTTTGTGGAGAAGGCCGCTCAAGGTACGGCCTTCCTGACTCGTTGTCATGTTCTCCTTAAGGCTCATCACAATGCTGCTACTTTAGCTCTGGTTAGAGCTTCAAGCTTTGCTGTGGTTTCTTGTGCACCTAGAGTACCAGTCAAAAGACTGGACACACTTAGTGAAAATCATTCCTAAGCACACCTCGAGGTTTTCTAAGGACTAAATCCTATAGAGCTGGTTTAGGATCAGTTGGAACCCAGTGAGAGTAAGGTGGCCAACTTGTGCTCAGAACTTGTAGAAACTCCTTCAGGACTGTTGGAGCAGCATTGCAAGTGGCTACATCTGGAAGCAAACTGAAAGAATGCCAAGAGTCTACAATGCTGCCAAAGGAGTTATTTTGAAGAGAATATTTTGAAATGTGGAATACTTCTAGTCGTTGCAATTTTTGATATGTATTTCGTCATTGGCTCAAGGTCTTTTACTATAAGGAGAATATCATAGCTACAGTAGAGACTAATACATTTATAGCAGGTGTATCCAGACTTGTGTTTGCATGTGTCTCAGTGGCCCTGGACAGCATCCTTCAAGAGGTACGCTCCTTGGAGAGGGGCATGGAGATGGCCCGCAAGGAGTTTATGGTGCAGGATGACAGCCCGGCGCTAAAAGAGTTCCTCAAGACAAACAGTGAGCTGCTTGACAGCCTGATTAAAGACAGCAAGGCGGCTCAGGTAGATCTATAACTGCTGTTACTACTGGATCTATTCACTGACAGCAGCACATATTTCCTCAGTGTGTGTTTCCCTTGTGTAGCTGTCACATTCTACACATCTTACTCCATCCATCTACTCGTACCATTCACCTCTTATACGATCGTGGTGGGCTACCACTGTCCCCCACAGGATCATTATGGGCTACCACTGTCCCCCACAGGGTCATTATGGGCTACCACTGTCCCCTACAGGGCACACAGTTAGGATTCTTTACTTGTCACGTACATAGTTATACAAGTACAACATGTAGTAAAATGTAAACCTGGCCACTGCTAAGACTGCAAGAATCTTAGCAAATTAAGAAAAAAAGATCAGAGAAAAACGGAGAAATATTAGAGAAAGTACAATATATCCATGTGTATTGAAGTGCAGTGTGTAGTTGTATTGCGTAATGAACAATAGTTGTAAGGCAAGTGTGTGACTGATAGAGTTCATCAACGAGATAAGTTGTATTATTGAGGTAATGTTAAAAGCTGTGGTGGAAGATCCTAGTTAAGGAGTCTTATGGCTTGAGGACAGAAGCTCCTTCTGAATCTCTCTGTTTTGGCCACAATACCGCTGAGCCAATTGCCTGATTTAAAAACACTGACTTACCTTAACTGCAGATTTTTAATTTTTATTTTATTTTATTCCATCCACAAAAATCACTGCAGCGTACCTACAAAAATGGAATGACTGGCACATTCTGTCCTGGCAGATAATTGGCACAAAAATATTAGTCAAATAAATAACCACATTACTCAACATTTCAAACCATTTAAGCCCTACATGTTTGTCTTCCTCATTTTTGATCAGGACAGACAATCCAAAAATTCAGGATCCATCCATCATGGAAAGAACATGTTCAGAAAGTAGAAATCCAGACCAAGATTTTGTTTCAACCAACCAGTTGAGTATAAAGAGTCACAGTCACAGATACTCAGCTGGCTGGTTGAAACAAAATCTTGGTCTGGATTTTGACTTTCTGGACCTGAACTTTGCTTCTAAGTGATTACCTACCTTACTGCTTAGGGTCCATCCCAGGTAGCACAGGATACAAGGCAGGAGTACACCATGGATGGGATGCCAGTCCATTTCAGGACATATACACACTATGGGCAGTTTAGAGACAACAGACAGAGTTATTGAAAACGAAGGCATGTTATCCATGATGAGAAGTGGACTGAGTAAAAAGTTCTAACTGATTTTTTTTTTCTCCAATCAGGAGTCGTACACATCAGTGGTCGAGTACTTCGGAGAAAATGTAAAGACTACACCGCCATCTATGTTCTTCCCCATATTCACCCGGTTCGTCAAGGCCTACAAGGTAAGGGGCAGGTCCTGCTGCGTCGTCACCGCTGGCTGCGTTTAAGTGGCCAAGCTTAATGCTCCCACATTCTCCTCAGCAAGCGGAGCACGACATCGAGCAGCGGCGCAAACAGGAAGCCATGGCCAACGAAAGCGCTGCAGAGGCAGGCCCCTCGCCCGCCAAGAAACCGCCTGTTGGAAATAAGGTCCGCAGCATTAAAAATACAAGATAAAATAGTGCGACAGTAATGGCTGACATATGTTGATTTTGTGCTAAAATTTACAACCCATTTAAAACAGAGTCCTTACATGTCTAAGAAAGTATCTTTGGCCGACCTTTGACCCTGGCAGATGCCGATGATGCCCAAAATGCCCCAGGTGGACCTGATAGCTGAGCTGAAGAAGAGGCAGGTAAAGCCGCAGGTGCGTGAGGGGAAGGACGGCGCTATCGAGGACATCATCACAGGTGAGCTTCAAGCCTCCTTCCCTATTGCTTCCTCATTGGTTTTCTGTACCAAATAATACTACGTTTCATTATCTTTTGCCCTTCTTCGATCTCTTCCTCTCTTTTACTCTGGACCTTCCTAATTTTGCTCAGAATTTTGTTACCATTCTGTTAGCCTCATTCGTTGTATGGAGGTTTCTGTTTGTTTATTGGATACCTGTATAAGGACTGGGTCACGTGGCATTAGCTAATTCCCTCGCAGTCTTTCAATGAGCTGAAGGTCGGAACGTTACTGCACTACCCGCCCTATGCCGGTGCAAAACTTGGACACGTTCCAGCTTTCTAAGCACTAAATGCGTCCTTCCCCTTCCCAGATCTGAGAAACCAGCCCTACCGCCGGACAGAAGGAGGCTGGCGCAATGCCAGGAAATCGAGCGACGCTCAGCCCCAGGCCCCGGCGGAAGCGTCGCAGTGACACACCTGCTTACTGGACATATACGACACACACAAACAGACACATCAACACTTGCGACCCAACATTTTCTCTCCCATGTTAATGCCGCCATCATTCACCACACTGCGCCACCTGGGCTTCAGGATTCCACTTCATCCTGAACTCCGCTGCCCACATGACGTCTGGAAGTGCATTTTACAGTTACTATACCCTGCCTTTCTTTGTATTTGCCATATGTTTATTGTTTCATAACAGTTACATAATCAAATTCTCTTTTATCTTTATTGTATGATCTTATTAAATTTCTTTTTATTCCTTGTTTCTAATACCACAGGGCATTGCTATTGCCCACATGAACGTAGCTAAGTAAGGGAAATTCTCCCAGACACCGTTCATCCAAGACATCCCTTCCCAATTAAAATCCTATCTAATCAAGCCCCAGGTCTGCAGCACTAATCCCAGGATGTATGACCTCACAAAAGCGACATTCGATGCAATGAATGCATAATAAAAACTGCCTATATGTCTTAAAGGACCCTTCGTGAACTAACTGGCTTATTTTGTACATGTATTATGCTTGCTTCATCAATCTGTGCCATTCAGAGAGTGTGTAAAGAAGAATCCACGTGATATTGACTATTGTAGTTGGGTCCTGTTTTGTATAATAAAATGGTTATATTTTTGTTATACATATAAAACGTTTTTTTTTCTTCAAAATTTATTCTGAAACATTTTTAAATTATGGAAGCTTTTTTATAAATGTAGATGTGATAAACTGTAATCGTGGGGGGGAAAAAATCAAAAGATGTATAAAACGTTTTAAGTTTTAAACACCATTCCCTGTTACTCCACCAGAGGGCGAAATCTGGCCGCTTGTGCAAAGTATCATTCCATTATGTGGTGGATCCAATGTAAAAATAAACAAAACTTCACACTTTCAACCAATTATTTGTTTAGTATTACCATTTTTGCAACTGGTTCCATCAGTCCGTCTTTAATAGCTGTTTATCTGCTTCAGGGGCAGCCTGTAACCTACCTTAGCCAACACTGGGCATGGGCAGAGAGTACCCGATAGCAGGGCTCTTCAGATCTGGGATTCCAAATCCAGGCCTTGTTTTCAATTTTCCCAGGTAGTTAGTTTAATAATTACTGATTCTGATTGGTCAGAGGCTTCACACCTGGCTTATGGGTAAAGGAATGCTGGGAAATCAGGAGAGCTCAGACCTCGAGGACAGTGATCTGAATAGCCCTGTAGTATAGAATGCCAGTTCTAGACAATACTGAAGCTCATAATGTATTTCTAGACAATACTGAAGCTGAAGCATAATGTATTTCATACCTTTAAACTCTCTTTTGTTTTTCTTTCCTTCGATGTTCATGCAACAGCAGATTCTTATGTGCTTCTGTGATGTTTTGCTAGGATTCATTCCCCTCAGCGTCAGATACACATGAACTGTTTGTAAGAGGCTAGCCTGCAGATGGGTGGGAGAACTCCCGACATACATGCGGTGAACAGCCCTCGACGCTGTTCGCTCTCCGGGGGTGTCTTGAAGAGGCTTAGAAACAAACTTTTCAAGGCCGACAGCGACGTTCTCAGTGAAGTAAGTTTTCAGCAATGTCGTTAAACCATCGTTAAATCGCCGATATCCCATAATCCTCGACAACCGTGGACTGAATTGGAGGAGGTGCGTGTACGCCGTGCGCGTCACCCCGCCGGATCCCTCGTTCCCGCGGCTCGTTCACGGTTAAGAATTCACAGCCGGGCCGTACGAGAGAGCTGAACTTTATTTGTCATACGAACACAGCGAGTATGTACAAAAGAAAAGCAGCCTCCGTATTCTCACAAAAGACACGGTTCCCACGGTAACATCAGGGCGTCCACACGGAGCAATTAGACTGTTAGTATGCATCAGTGTATCTGACTCTGTAGCTGTTCGTCTATTATGCTATCCTACAAACGAAAGCGTCACTCCCTAGGGGAAAAAACAACACCATTACTGGATGGTTTATGTAGAAACTCTCAATCTCAAACTATATTTGCTGTCTGTGTGAATACAGTCTCCCCTTTACACAATTTTATTAACCAGTATTACAGTAATAGATGCCTGAACCACAGACATGGACCAATTAAAACCTTTTTTATTTGCTATAGTATAATAAATTTTTTGAGGTCAACGTTAGTTTCTTTTACAAAACAAAGACAACATTTTCCAACTGCATCGTGCGATTGAGAATATACATGCATTATTATAATTTATTTAAGATTTCGTCCACGTTTTGACAACATTTTGGACATGAGACCATCTTGTGGACACTAAGAATGGTTTATCCTATTTACACAGGTTTTTTTTTTAAGCTTTTTTTTTTTTTTGATGCCATGAACATCCACACATCCAACCTTCAGATAGGACACAACACACAGGACCCTGTGTGCTGGGAATAACCAAAGACAGCAAGAATGTCTGAAGTAATACCTTCCCCTTCTCTGGGGGTATGAAGTGTGCTGTCAGCTCCTTGACCAGCACTTGCGCCTGTCCTCTAGGCAACCGACATCACTCAAGCATATACCACAAAGCCAGGTATGGCCTAAGCAATCCACTTGGTATCTGAGACATTCTGACATTGTACCTCTCCCAAAAAAAATACATGAATAAATAAATAAAATGTGCCTGCAGGACTGTGCTGTGCAGGAATGGGACGGTTAGCTTGTGCTCTCTGTCTTTTGAGGATGCTACAGTAGGTCTCTATATACTAAACTGTAGCACGAACATAAAGTTTTTGTGGAGGTGGGTCGTGGGGGGGGGGGTCGTTAAAGCCTTGATTTAAGTGATCAACAATGTTTTGGTTAGGAAAGGCAGTAGGGATTCTCCAGGGCCCTGAAGCCGACGGGATCTACCCCTCTCGTAGGCTGCAGACACGGGCAAAGAGAATGTTCATCAAACGTCAGTCAGCTTCTTAAAATAGTCTCCCCTGGTCTTGACAGTAAAAGCCAACATCTTTTGTGGCACCTGCATGTCATGCAAGTGCAAGGTGCAGCTGCATGGACCACATGCAATTCTGCAGCTTTAATACTTTTGCATTTTGCAGAATCCGCGTGACCCCCCCCCCTCGCCCCGCCCCTGCCGGCTGCTGGGCTGCATGCGGACCCTGCAGAATCAGTTCTGCCAACAGCGATAAAAAAAAATGCAACCAACCAAAAAAAAAAAAAAAAACAGCAATCATGGTTGACATTATAAACCCTGATGAAATACAATTAAAAAAAGACATTCATATAGTTAAAATCTACACCAGTCTTGCATATCCGGTAGATCAGCAAATCAACCAAGGTTCAATTCTATACCGTATATGTACATAGTATATATATTCAACTCAATATATAAAATGTTCTGTTTGTGGATAAAATAATTTCCAGTTATGATATATATACATATATATTTTTTTAAGAATAAAAAAAAAATTACAAAAGAATTATATAAAAAGCAAATAGAAGATGATGCCATTTACACATTTTCACACTGTTCTTCACATTGTAATTTCATACACCAACTTTTGACTAAAGACATATTTATACATTTATATATCTGTACTTTGCTTTATAATTTCAATTATTTAAAGAATCTATTTTGTCTTTAATCACTCTGATATAACGACTTATCTGTTCCACAATGAACTTGAAGGGAAATTGAAAAATCAAACAGATAGAAATACTGACTTGTGACTATTGACGGAAAAAAACCCTTTTGCAACTGGTCTTAAGACTTGAAGAGTTTAAGTATGGTTGAATCTCAGGGTGTTAGGAAAACGTGAGATTATAGTGGGAGTGGACGGTGGCTATGTGTGCTCTATTAATCGAGTGAAGAGCGCAACCAGGACGAAAATAAAATTAAATACAAGTCATCCATCCACTTAATGAGTGTGAATTGAGATTGGGGAGTTTTCTTATTCCTTTTTTTGTAGAACCCCTGTTTCATATTTTTTCATCCTAAAAGACAGCATAGAAAGACCCTGTATTATGGATGAAGGCACAAGCTGAGAGTCTTCGTAAAGAAGCCCGTTTATGACACTGTGCTCTCTGAAGATCTGCCACACTCCGCTTTTTCTCCGTTATCGCGTCTGATCTGCCCGTAAACGATTCCACGCCGCAGCAAACCTTTTAAGACTGTCTTAAGTGCTACTGGTCCTCCATTTAAACTCACTATCCATTTCTCACCACGGTTAATCACTTTCGCCAGTGTATCTATTAACAGAAGTAAATGTGGAGTGTTTGATGAAAAGCTTCAGTCTATTTATGCTCTTAGAGTGAGAAGAGAGCCCTTGAGTGACGTCAGGAATGCAACGCTAACAGCGATCAGGAGTTACGCTATTGTGCACGAAGTTCAAAGAAAAGCCATTATTCACCAATCATCGCAAATTACGGGGCCGTGAAAAGAGCACGATGCTATGCTCTTGCTTAGTGGAAAGCAGAGCCGTATTTTTATATCCCTAAAACACTGATAATTGCTCTAAAGATCGGCTTAGATTCCCAAGAGCCGATACAAAGTGGCACTGTGCGGATTGAGCCACCAGAGGGCAGTGTTGTGCCGGCGGGAGCATGTAGCATCAGTGCAGTGCCCGTTGCCTCTTTGTTCCCCTGTCTCCAATATACTAACTGCCGACAAAGACCTTATGCAACCGCGCAGCTCCCAATATAAAAGGTAAGTTCTGTAATTTATTTCCAATCTAACAGCTGTCACAGAGTCTCATATTACTACCCTCCTTTTCTCTCTCTTGGACGATCTCGCCAGGTGTCCCCGCAGCCTCAACGGGCAGCATCGTCAAATTACAGAGCCTTCAAGAACTGCAGTTCAAGACACAGACAGCCTGCTACCGATGAGCGCTGTGGGGGTCGTACTTGCCAGGCGGGCCCATGGAAAATGCACAAGTAAGGGGGCTTGAATGCACGGCTCACGCGGCTGCGACACAAACACCTGCGCGGTTTGCACGGGGCTCCCTGCGGAAACTAAACCCAGAGCAGGATGCTGGCATAACACGGCCTCGTTAATGCGCGATCTGGGAACACCACACACAGGATCAGCACAAACGATAGTACTAATTAGCATTCAAGATTACGTAGGAAAATGACCAATCTAATATCTAAAATATCCCCTCCCAAAACAGTTGTGAATACAAGTATTGTAGCTTGTGCTTTTAAGTCGAATCTGTTTTGCTTGTTGCAAAAGAAACGTAAATATTGCACATAACTCAAATCGTCTTTGACGTGTCTCCCCTTTGTCTAGTCACAACACAGTTTAAGCTGAAAGGGTATACAGCGTAGACTCCCCTATGTGTGCAGTCTACATCTACTTCTATTCAAACTAGTGACACTTTTATAGCAAAGGGGGACTGCTCTTACTCCCTTTCTGTACAGTGGGAAGATAAGCGAGCTGTAATGAGTAGAGACAGACACTCAGTGTGGAGCTCCAGACATAGGTAGGAGTCAGTGTAAAGACTGTAACATGGTATTCAGTCTGCCAGTGCAGAAGTGTGTGGTGAATGCATTCACATGAACAGCAGTGTAGCACCGTTTAGTATTAGCACAACCGCGGGTGACATCGGGACTGGAAGTAGCCCCAAGTCATCCCTCTCCAACCAATTTTCTTTTTGTTTTCCTGTAAATAAGATGTGTCAGGACACACCGGCCGAAACGACATTTTATAACCTTGTTATTGCACACATCTACAGTACATTTCACAGTTAGGAAACAGAAATAAGGTTTCTTTTTTTGTGAGAAATTTGGCACTGATGGAAAAAATATGCTGGGTCTCCCCATCTTAGCGTCCATAGGACTGGTTTTCTAGGCCAGTGTTTCCCAACCCAGTCCTGGGGGACCAGCAGCAATCTACAGTTTTGCTTTTTCCAAGCTTCCAGCCAAGAACTCCTGGTATAGGTGTGTTGGAAGCTGGGAGAGAACAAAAATATTGACTGTCTGGGGGGGTCCCTGAGGACCGGGTTGGGAAACACTGTTCTAGGCTATACATGATCAGGTCAAAAAGAAAAAAAAGATAAACACAGCCAGCCTTCATTGCAGAAGATCAAGGTTCAGGTGGAACAGTACAGAGATGACTAGAAGCTGCTTTGAAAGAAAGAGTGCAAACACTGCCTCTGACTTGGACTGAAATGAGTCTGAATGCAAATGACCAGCATCACTAAGCGGAGACTCACAGTGCATGCTGGTACTCATGGTGCACGCTGGTACTCATGGTGCACGCTGGGACTCACGGTGCACGCTGGGACTCACGGTGCACGCTGGGACTCACGGTGCACGCTGGGACTCGCGGTGTACGCTGGGACTCACGGTGCATGCTGGTACTCATGGTGCACGCTGGGACTCACGGTGCACGCTGGGACTCATGGTGCACGCTGGGACTCACAAAGGAGCTTTGGCTCTTCCTGAAGGCGTAACGGGCGATGCTGTCTCTTAAACGGGCAGGCGACTAAGTAATAGCGAGTTATGTTGAGAATGCCTGCGATGCATTTTGATTGGATGGGGGTTCCCAGGATCATCCTGTAAGGGGGCGGGGGAACAGAACCTTTCTCCCAGTTGTTGCAGTCAGCCTGACCAAAGTGGAGCACAGCAGGTGACCTGCTGTTATTTTGGTATTTACTGGATCCCCAACTGATCTTCTGATTCCCTCACAATTCGCTGAAAGGTGTGCCACCTTGTGGGATGGGCTTACATAGGGGCGACACTTCTTGATCCTTGTAGGTGCCATGGCTGAAGTACAGCGCAGCTCGGCCTGCAGTTTGGAGGCCCGACGGCGAGAGAGTGGGTGAGGAGGAGGGCAACGAGGAGGTGGCCGGTGGCGGTGGGCAGTGACAGCGGGGCAGGGGAAGGTCGCCGCTCCTTGGCCAGATGATGGTGAGAAACGGGGCTTCAGCACTTAGGCTGGAGGCAGAAATGCTGGCGAGCATCACCTTCGCCTGACTGGGAGGATAGCGCCCCCTTCTGGAGGTACAGTTTCCGATGAAGGAGGAGGAAGAAGGGAAAGACGACGGGATTTCAGGGGATGAAAACAAGGAGAGCAGTGTGGTTCTTCTGCTGAGAGGTCTTGCAGGTCTGGAAGGTCGAGGGGGCCACCGTAAGCACCCCCCTCCACACACACTCACTGTACAGTGAGCACTTGTGCAGGCGGCCTAAGGTGGGGGGGGTGGGGGTAGGTAGGCAGGCCAAAGCCAGCAGCCCAGTGGAGAAGGAGAAGACAGTTCTGGAGACGGGTGAGACTGCTGGGGGGGAAACCAGTTGGGCTGTTCACTGCTGCAGGACGGGTGAAGGCCGTTGGTGTCGATGACGAGAGATCAACGCAGAGGACAAAAAAAAGGACAAGCACAAAGCAGTTATTCAGGATAGAAATCACGTGTTGAACATTTATTACACAAATTACCAAAGCCCAACAGAACATTTAACATCTCCAAAAATGCAATGGTAGAGCACCGAACCGGAGTGCCGTTAGCAATCCGTTCTGCATTTTCCGACACATCTTCCGATGCCCCTGCACATGTCATTCGCAGTGTGACGTAATTGTGAAACAGGGGAGCTCTTCCACTGCAGTGCCACCTCCGACCAGCAGGGGGCCCGTGGCTTGCCTTTTTTCCTTCATGGCAACGTGTGATGAGCAGACAGCTGGGTGCGGGCAGCGAAAAAAAACAAAAAAAGCAAAGTGCAAACGCATGGTTGCGTCTTGGTGTCAGAGGAAGCAGAGAGTTACAGACATTCTGTGACGATCTCGGCGTGACGGCACCGTAAGTTCTGGGCGACTTCTCCCTCAACGTCTGCATAACACACTGCCAGGACATAAGCCATTAATGTCATCATTTATCTAGTCCAGAGCTGCGCGTCTTCACTGTCATAAGGGCCGAAGGGAAAACAAACTTATAAAGAGTTGCGTTCTAGAAGACGAACAAACACAACTGCAGGTCTGTAAAATTGTTAGGGGTGGCAGTGAGAAACGCAGACAGCTATATGAATCAAACAAAGTAATCTCTACGGTGATCTGGCACCTTAACGATGCCCTAAAATGTGCGTGAACGCAGTCTTTTATAATATTACTTGTTTGCCAATAACCGAATGCAGACCTACACCCAGGCTGTCATAATCATCTTCAACCAAAAGAATTTTTAATACATTTTAATAATGAAGTATTAACAGACCCATCTAAATTATTGACTAATTGGCTGCAGTGACCTTTATTGGCAATTGTTGTGAGTACAAGGACAATTTGGATTGGGGTAGCAGTCTTCATTCTGTCCATGTCTGACCATCGAGGTGGTTTACACCGGAGCCAGACAGACAGCAGCAAAGACACAACAAATTCTGTTTATAAGCAATTACTGTAGATAAACAAACTGCTCCAACAGTTACACCCCACACACACACTTAATGGCAAACAGTGAAAATCCTGCTTAGTCTTTCTTTTGACAGTTAGGAACATAAGCAAACGCCCCAAAGAACAGACTTTAATGTGTGATTTCTCTCGTGCGTCTTGTCAGCCATACCTTAGCTAAGCCATCACTTGTTTTTGCTTGAGACATGAAAACATACTGATTTGCTCTGAACTGTGTACTAACTGTATAAAATCAGTTTAGACAACTAGTACCTAAATATTATTTATCTATATATATTTAATGCGATCTCTCCATGGCTTATGATTAATTTAAATGTAAACAAAAATCAGAATGAATGTTCTTCATATACTTGTCTTTCACCAGCATATGAAAAAAAAAAAATCACGGTTACTCATACTCCACAGAAATGAAGAACACAAGTAAATCACATGACCTGAGTGGATGTCCAGGAAAATGGGGCACTGAGTGACCTTAGGTGCACAGTCTCATAAAAACAGTGCTTGCTGAACCCTTAAGTACATAATTATAGGCAGTGCACCACATTTTATAAAGGATTTAGTTTAGCCAGACAAGCAGTGAAGATCTTCTGTAGCAGTGGATCTATTCCTTGGGTTTTCATTTGGTCACCCCCACCATTACAAGGCAGATGAGGATCTAACCCCAAATGCAAAATGTCAATCTAGAACGTTTTACAGTACTGTATGTCGACCTAAGAACAAAATTATTCGGCTCATCCAGACAAAGGCAGAGGTGTCACCCATCTCTTTGCATTGTATCAAGGTTGAAAAATAGATAGATATCAATGGCAGGGATGATATTCCACACCACTGTCTGAATAATCACCTCCATCCTTCATTCCAATGGACAAAAAATGAGGACAGGGTAAACAAACGTGGGGAAATGAAAGTAAACAAATGAATCACCTTTCATTATGGAAAGAATGCGATGCTATTGTGATGGCAGGCATGAAGATAAATGACAAAAAGCCCGGTTCTGATTACAGCTGCCACCGGAGGCGCCGGAAGATCGGCGGCAAGGCCGTAGAGATGACAGGAGCGTCTCCGCGCCATTGAACACGCGGGCAGCAGTCGTGGCCAATTGCAGTTAACCTCTGGGTGTCCTTCCTGTTGCGCCTTCGGTGTCTCTGACTGCCCCCTCGCTTTACATGCACTGCTGTGCCTCTGGGGATGTTCGCAGGGCATGCGACGGCATGTCGCTACAGCAGGACCACCTGGCCGCTCTTATCCCGCCATGCGCTCACAGCGGCCGTCCCTTCAGTTTTGACGGATCTGTTCATCACCATTCCTGCAATCTATTCCACCCTATTGGCCTGGATGAGATTCTACTTCCTCTACGGCACTTCACAAACACAATCGGATGAAAACATGCTCCCATGCCCCCCCCCCCAATATTCCCTACCCACCAACCCCTCCCCCCGCAAACTGCTCTTGTAGTGCTATAGCATCCAGGAATAAAACTGAAAGAATGCAAAAAATGGCCAGAACTTACATTACATGCTCCCTAACCTCCAGCCTGACCTTGAGAGTGAAATCATGGGGTTAGGGGTGTGGCTTAGTGAGGAGGTGTGGCTCAGTGGGTTAGGACAGTACGCCTGTGATAGGAAGGTTCCAGGTTTAAAGCCAAGGTTGGCAGAATGATGTCACCATTGGGCACCTTGAGCAAGGCCCTTAACCCCCAATTGCTCTGAGGCTGGCTGACCCTCCTATTTCAAATGTACGTAGCTTCTTAAATGGTGACTGTTTGGGTTACACTGCAACAGAAGGATCTCACACCCACAAACGTGGATCTGCTCACCGTGATATTCCAGCGATGCGCTACACCTCTTACACCAAGCAGACCGATGTTCAAGAACCATGCCAAGAATACAAAAAAGGCAACTAGTAATTCAGGAAATGCAAATGCTGGGCTACTGCACAAACCGCAACCTGCAGTTGTGCAAAGGGTTCAATGGTGCAAGTCAAGTATCACTCAGAACATCACCCAGAACATCACCCAGAACAACACAGTAAGGGCTGGGAAAGCTTGATAATATAAATATCTGCAAAACTGATCCATTCTGAAGTAGAACACGCATCCGGTATAGTGATTACTCCTGAGCTCTAGAATGTGTCTGGTGTGAACTACAATTAGACTAATATGAAATTAATTCCATACATAAGAATCAGCAGATAAATTGTAATCTCAATACTGGGAATACAGTGATGAAAAGCTGGAGCAGAAGAGATGAAACAGTTTTAGAAAATGCTTCTTATAACTGTGCTTGGAATCTCTGGAGCATTTTATGTTCAAAGAAATGATGTGGAGAATAAGAAAGACTGGCAGAAGAATAGGGCTGACTGTACATCAGTAATCTATTTCTTGCAAGTTACCACACTGAGTCATATCTTCAATAACTCCCATAAACCAGAGCTAGACACTATGATATCTCTGACCACTGAGTCCTGTTTTCTATATGTGTAGCTAACAGAAGTGGGCTGTTCTTATCTTAGTGTTATGTAGATTTGTAGTTCCTAATCACCTTCACCCATTCTTGAGACTTAAATGTAGTTCTTTTTGAGTTTCCATGTTGTAAGGTTGTTTTAACCATATCATTCTGTTTTACTGTTGCTGTAGATCGCTGTAGAGCAGGGCTCTTCAAATCAGGACCACGATTGCAAATCCCGCCCATATTTTCAGTTTTCCGAGGGAGTTACTTTAATAGTTATTGATTCTGATTGGCCACAGAGGCTTCACACGCGGCTCACAGGTAAAGGAAGGCTGGGAAATCAGCAGGGCTCGGACCATGAGGACCTTTGATTGGAATAGGCCTGGTGCAGCTGTTTCACTGGATTGTTAGTGGTGGGTGGATCATGGTTGAGGATTCACACACAGCCTCTAGGTGTTCAGGTTCAAACAATTAATCCTAGCCTTTAAGATCAACTAAGACTCATCTAATCTGTCATGAGTGCTGCACTAAATGAGTCATACAGTGAGAAGTATCACGTCACAGGAGTAACTGAAGGGAGAAGATCTCTGAGATCCACTGGTCATTAGTCTGGGAAAACTGGGACATGATAAAGACAAATACAAACCACCGACCTGTATAACAGGCATTGCTAAACATCAAAGAAGCTTTTATGTTTGACACGGGTAGTAAAAGAGGAATAATGTTATTCCTTTCCTGAAAACTATAGATCCTTGCCAGTGTAGAACTCAAGCTCATCACGGGCCTAATAAGTGGTATTGGCTGGAATTCACGTCCCTGACTTAAGAAAATCCACCATATGGGCGACTCGTACTTCCGAACACGTTATATTAAAAATTTGGGTTAAATGGTAACAAATGCACTCACTACGTTGTGACGCTGGTGAAAATATTGCACGGCGTCAGTGGTTTGTCAGCTCAACACACAGTACAATACTGTATGTAGTTACTTTTATTATTACTGCGTAATTATTATTATTATTATGAACTGTATTACTATTTTTCTGACTTACCTACAAATTCGACTTAAAGACAGACTTAGGGAACGGAACTCGTTCATAACCTGTGGCCTCTACTTGCATTTCAATGTATCTGATTTTGTTTTAGATGGTCTTGCACAGGTGAGCTTCTGTACTGCTATGTGGCACTCAGAACATACAAGTAGAGATTGAGTAGCTTGCCTTAGGTATAAACTGGACCTGGGTGCAGCTCTCATGTTCTGTTTGCAGTCGGTCCCCTTTCGGAACCTGACATCTGCCATACCGTGCGTCCAGAGGGCTCACCTGCACAAAACATCTCTACCCAAGGACTGAGGGGGTTGAATAACAATCCCTCCCAGACAAAATGGTTCCACTCTCTGGGTGTTCTCATTGTCCTGTCAGGAAGACAGGTAGCCAATACATGCTGTCTGCTAAGGAGAACAGAGGCACAATGCAACCGTGAAGCATAAGCACAACACAAACAGTGGAACTGCATATTGCGGCAAGTACACCCAGCTGCAGCCTGGGGAGTGGGGTGTGTTTATACACAGAACATTCATTGGCTTGGTTATTTTTCAAGGCGGCACCTTCTCGAAGTTTGACCACGTCTGCAACTTCATTATGGTCATTATGTCTCATGCTCATGGGTTTGGCTATACGTGTAGCCGCGTTCCATATGTAGCCCCGCCTTGTTCCCAGGTCTGCAGCCGTCACCTTCTGTATTTAGCTGGGGGTAAGATCCTAAGGCTGTACAATTCAGTGCTTTAGCCTCGCTAGATGGAGGGAAGGAGGCATTCAGTTTGCAATCCAGTAGTAGTCTGTTACGGACAGATTCTATGCCGTGGTTTACAGCACACTTGTCTATGTATCTTCAACGTGCCGGAAAATTAGCCACAGGCTATGTTGATTATGCAGCTCTGATCCACTATATAATTGTCTGGTTCAGATTAATCTGCTTCAGTTGAGGTGGTCAGCATTTTCCATTCCCCAGTACAAATAAACCAGGGAGGTTTGTGGGGGAGGAAGATTTGATTGACATGTAAAAATTCCATTCTGAAAATTAAACACTCAAACACGTAGGGCAGTTAAATAGACAGTGAATAGTTATGCCCATCAGGCATTGACCACATTCCAGTGCCAAGCAAATATGTGACTTCTGACCTCTAAACGTCACCCATCATCATCTAAACCAACGGAACAAGCACATTTTATTTCATAGTCATACTACCTCAGCCCTAGTACAAGTTCGAGAACAAAAAATGTGAACAGCTGCAGGCTGTTCAGCCCCATGAATTATTATACATGCTCGAGAACTTGTTTCTATTATAATTCTTGGGTCACCATTCATTTTCCAGTACCAGGTCCTGGAGCCAATTCCCAAGAAGCAAGTGGTTCAGAGAGGTCAACACACACTAATCATGATTTAGAAGCAATAATCCACCTAAGCATGTATTTGGTGTGTGGAACTAAACTGGAGTACTTGGGGGAACCCTGTGCAAAGATGGTGAGAACCAGAGGTGGAAATTTAAGGTCCAGAAATTACAAATCCAGACCGGTTGAATATTCTGTGACAGATTCTTTATACTCAACTAGTTCCTTGAAACAAATTCTTTGTCTGGATTTGTACTTTTTGAACGTGAACTTTCTACCTCTGGTGAGAACTTGTACGCTCCACACATGCAGAGCCTGGGGCTGGGAAGTGTGATGTTACATAAGTAACAGTGCTAACCACTGAGCAGCCAATGCCACCTCTTGTCGAAACAACTATAGATTTCCTGTAAAAATGCTATAACAGGACTTCATACAGACTCTGCAATTGGCTTCTCGGTAAGGTTGCAGGCCACATGTAAGTCTTTTGACACAACTGTATAGAATATCAACTGAATGAGGGAAGGTTATGACTGTGTAGGGCTGTGAAAAGGCAGAACATCTTCAGGAAAGCATGGCTCTTTCACACACTGTTTATCCTGTCCCATTCAGTTCTGCGTTCTTGAGTGTAACACATTAACTCTTGCCTTGTGAATCCCAATTCCACTCAGCCTTTCATTCATCCTCTCTGTCCTTGGTTTCAACATCTGTACCCACTTCCTTATGAACACATCTACATGCTTGGAAAAGACCTCAGCATAACTTTGTGTCAGATTCCTAAAAATGGATTATGTTCATCTTGAGGTGCCTTCAGTTTTCTGTCAAAGACTTTCAGTGTAATATGGCAACATGGCACACGATAGTCCGGCCACCTTTTGAGTTGGTTAAGGAAATTCACTTAAAACAAGATCAAAGAAACACCGAAGTTGACATAAATGTGAAAATGCATGAGAAAGCATTGGATTCTTGACGCGGATGGCACATCATCAAAGTGTTTACTGCACCCAGCCGGCACTCTTAGAATGCTAACGTTCGTCGGGGGGTTCTTTTCTACATCACCACAAATGGCAGGCAGTACAGTAGTTCTTTCAGGTGTGACAAAACTATAGAAGGACATCTGACGTCGGCAGTACAGTACCTGCTGCTGCCCCTGACTCTTAAGGAAATCCTCACGCAACTTGCTTGTCTTGCCCTTCTCTGGAGCGCTCTGCTGCAGATGTTTCAGGCGGGATGAGGCAGATGAGTGGAGACCCTTGCCAGAGCCTCCGCCCTGTGGAGGAGAGGAAGAGGGAGGAGGGATGAGCAAGTCTGACCTTGCGAGTGAAGGGTAATGACTCAACGCTCACTGTCAACCCGTCCCCCCAACAGGAAAACAATGGTTAGTATACATCAGTATACAACAGAGACATCTGGTGAGACAAACAGACCTAAAAAGAATTCCTCAGAGAAGGAAATTTCTGGTTTCGGTGATTTGCCCCCAAGAATATGCCACAATCACTTTCCTCGTTTTCTTTACCACGAGGAAGAGGGAAACAAGTGCAGCACAGTAAATAAAAGGATGTGAATCAGTGGGGGCCTCCTGAAGTTCCCCCCAACACAATTTTCAAAGGCTTTTCTGAACCCAGCTCCTGAGGAGTGATGGAGACTCAGCTCATGTCTTGATGCGAGTCTCCCTCTCCTTAATTTGCTATCTAAAAAAAAATGAGATGCATCGTTTTTGTCGGAGACTCGATGTATGGACGAGTCTCACCATTGCTAGGCACAAACGAAACAGTGTAGCTGCCGGGCACAGCGGCAGAGGTGAAGAGTCAAAACGGAGATACTCCTTTGCCATTTTGTTTATGTCGAAGTTCATTGACACAGACGATCGATTCTGTGCTGTACGTGGGATGATCGAGTATGTAAATCATACTGACCGACCATCCATATGCAGATTAGCAAGCACATTTCATAGATGCAAGTTGATTTTAATCTGGCCATAAGACAAATCGTAACATAGTGCCTATAACAGATAGGAGATAAATATGAATATTATCATCTTGGTCTATCTGCAATTAATTCCATTTACACACCATTGTCCATGATCCTTTCCACACTCCCTGGCTGTCTATTTCTTTCATCCATACTGAGCATAGTCCTAAATGAGATGACTGAGATAAGCCCACGTTAACTGATACATAGCGACTTTAAGAGGCCAACCAGTCCCATGTAAAGAACGTCTATCTGCAGCTTTGTTTGATGTTCTTATTTAATGACGTTTCCACGGCACCAGCGGCCAAAATGCACAAAAGATTAGTGTTGTTAGTAGTGGGTCAGGGTGGGGGGGTAGGGATGGAAGGTTTATCCATAATTTACTAACCTGAGCTATTAGCCTGTAAACGGAAGGTATCAATATTTTTTTCCCCATGGTTCCATCATAATAAGCTAATGTAGCGGTAGCAATGAAAGATGCATGAGAGACTAGACGTGTTTGTGTGCTTGTAAGTGCGACGAGCTAGGGAACGCATCATTTACAAGAATCACCCTGAACACGGCTATCGGCATGTCCAACACACACCTTAAATCGACCTTTTGCCAAGAAAACCACAGGTTTAACAACAGCTATGCAACGGAATCAATATGGCATGTAAGAAATCGTCCTATGCATTGAAACACAAAAAAGGGAACAAATCACATGCTTGATTTTCTGGATGAGGAAGTGATGAAAGCAGAGAAGACAGTTTATTAAAGAGACGATGGTGAGCATAGACAGGACAGCAGCCAATTAAATGAGGTGAAGAGATGGCTTACAGTGACAGATACTGCATTATTCAGGAAGCAAATGTCCCCTTGCAACACAACCCATGTGTCTTGTTCCATGGAGGTCAAATTGCAGCCTGTCCATTCTATAGCACTGACAGCGGACACTATAATTCACCCATTTGCTTGCTCTCGTTATTCGCCCCGTTGACTTAATAAGCAGCAAGACGGCAGACCTGAAAGTACAAGCGGAAGCTACGCCTCGGGCAAAAGCCTCAATCTGAGCTATGAGCAGCAGAAAATACGAGACGACAGCCAACAATGATTCAATATCCTGTGCAAAAAAGGTGAGCGGTTAGACTATTTGACCACTGTCTGTCATTCAGGAGGAGGTGGGTAGGAGGCTTCGAGTATCAGAGAGCAAAATCTCCAAGGGGGGAAAAGGAAGCAAGACAGTTATGCCCGAATATAGAACCCCAGGAAGGGAGGATGGACCTTAGTGATGACTGCTGGGACTCCGGTTGGTTTGGGTGGGATGGGAGGCTTTTTCTTGTCCGGGGAATGTGACGCCTCAAAGGCCACTGTCGCTATCTCATCAGTCCCCTGTTCCAGGAAGCTGCAGGCAGGATGAGCCCCGATCTCCTGCAGCGTAGTCTCCAGCTGGCGGATGGTCTCTTCCAAGCTGTCAAGCCTCCTATAGGTGCTGCTCCGGATGTCCTCTGCCTGTGACCCATGCAACAAGGTCGCTTTGGGCTGACTCTCTACTGGGGCAGCTAACCGGTCACTGGTGCGCTCTATGTTCTTATAGGTCCCCCCAACTTGTGTCTCGGTATCAGGGCACAGGGAAAGCATCCGGCACCTTGTCTCTGCTCCCTGCCTCGTAGCTCTCCTCAGTGTCGCCAGCTGTTTCCGAGACAGCCTAATCTTGCCACTGGAAACACTCTGAGACCCAACTGTCTCAGCCTCTCCCTCCTCGTCCAGCAGTGCTTCCAGACACCTGTAGGCCTCCTTGACCTCCAGGGGCTCCTTAAATAGTACAAAGAGCGGCGCACTGCTCAGAATTGGACCGGACGGGTTGTCTCGGAGGTAATAAATCTCACAGGGCCCTCCTGGTTTGTGGGTGGGGATGGACATTATTCGCAATGGTTGATTATTCTTCCTGATGAGTTCCTGAGCCTCATTCCTAGGTGAGACCTTCAACTGCCTGTCTGTGAGGATCAGGGCCAGCTCCTCCTTCTCAATAGTCTCTAAGGAATCCTGCCTTCGAAGTTTACGACCATCTTTAGGACTTTGGTGCTGAGGGGCAAGCTTGCCAGAAGCCACCCAACAGACCCGTGGTGTCTCCGAGTCTCTCCCCACCTCACCATCCGCAAAGTGCCCACCCTGCAGACCTGCCCCGACTAAGTTGTCAGTCTGTGACGATAAGGCTGGGACACACTCAGACAGCAGAGCCGTTGCATTATGATCAGAAGAAGTCTGGATGGATGACCCACCAACAGATTCCTGGGAAACAGAATCAAACTGGTGAGCTACAAACAACACTTTAATTCTGAACTGTCACACCACAGTCAGTATGAGCATCATGATTTTGATAACAGCAATAACAACAGCAGTAGAATAGCAAGAACAACAGAAGTAGAACGCCATAACTACTACCCCTAATAACAAAAATAAAAACAATAGGTATCCAGCAACTAACGCTGCTTGGATCCCTAATGACTAGGAGCATTAAGTGTGGCTATATAACAGCAGGCTTTTATTGGGGGTGAAATGGCAGTAACAGTGTTGTGATGGGACTGGGAAGGCAACACCATCTTGCACGACATTTCTCCTTCGAGACTTTCCCAAGAACTCCTGGAGCTGCTGTACGAGAAGCAGTGAAGGTGGACACAGCTCTGGGGGCAGAGTAGGGTGGAGCAAGGGGCCTGATCTGCCCTGTGGGGAGTCTCCTCTGCTGCAGCCTCGCCCCCTACCTACTGGAGGGCGGCCATCTTGCTCCACAGCCAACCACTTTGTTCACGCTAACCATCGAGCCGGTGCGTGTTTCCACAGCGCGCCGAGAGCCGGCTTGCCATGCTTACAGCACCTCAACCGGACATTTAGGGGCCATTTCTATCCCCCAGTCAAAGTTTAATTTACAGACGCTCCCCTGGTTACGATGGTCCGTGTTGCAATATTTCGACTTAATGGTGGGTAAATGTTTCTCACTTTCAGTACATTATTCAATAAATTACATGACAAGTTCAACCCTTAATGATTTTGCCCAACTGTAAGTCAATGTAAGTGTTCTAAGCATGTTTAAGGTTAGCTAGGCTAAGCTATGATGTGTATTAGGTCAGGTTTACTGTATTAAAATGCATTTTTGCCTTACGATAGGTTTATCGGAACGTAAACCCATCGTAACCTGGGAAGAGACAAACTATATAACTGAACAATAGTGCTCCCTTAGACATACATACAGAATACTGTTAAAAATACAGTAAAAAATATCAGTTTAAGATAATTTATGACAAAAATGAATTACAAATATTAATGCACTTGGTAATTACATTGTACTTAACGGGCAAGTGGAAGCTTGTTACCCACATGAATTAGTCAGTCTTATTTACTACTAGTTTGCTTACCTGATAACCTGTGGGTCCTGACTGACCGGCTCCCACTCTAAATATGACCGATCCTGCAAGGGTTGGCAAACACCGGGTCTGGGGGCGAGCGGGGACTGCTTGCCCAACGCACGTCACGTGACCCGTGTGACACGAACGCATGCACTCGAACACACGCGCCTTTAGAACACGCACACACACACACGGCGTAGTCGTACGAAGCAGAAGGCACGGCGTTAGCATACTCCTTTCTCCTGGTTAGTAAGAGAGCATTCCACCCATCGGCCTGAGGTCACATTAGCTTTGGCTGGGGAGGGGGGGGGGTTTGGGGGGCAGGGGGGTAAGTAAGTAAGGAAGGCAAATGGGGGTGTCTGATGTGTTAGGAGAAGTTCTGGTAAGTGAGGGATTCCAGTGATTGCGCGTCTTCATTCCAGCTACAAGGAGAATGAGAAACAACTCACCAGGCTACATATCCCCACCAGACTGTCGCTGTGCTACGTTTTTCCTGCGGCCTTTTAGCGCTAAAGCAAGGATGTGCTGAAAGTTAGACGTGCAAAAGCCCGCCATGAAAGATCTGCATGCACATGGTAGTTAGGCAGCTCGGGGGTTCCTCTCTCGTGCTACTGGACAGCACGTGGCTCCGGGCTGAATCCTGATGCGGGCAGGTTAGTGATGCCCAATGTGAGGATAACGGGTGGTGTTTAGGGGGTGGTGAATGAGAAGGGGGGGGGGGCAGGGTGAGGCATAAACAGCTGCCTCAGAAAAGCAGCGATCCGCACAGGCCCATAGGTAGGATTTACCGTCCTCCCCAGGGCTTCTGGGGGCCACAGGTCCAGACTGCTGGGGGGCGAGCTGGTTCTGCGTTGGATGCTAGGCGAGGAGTGGGGGCGGTATGCTTTGCCCCGGGCTCTCTGAAAAGCCTGGCAGCGGGGGCGGGGAGGGTACGACGGGGGATGTGGGTACAAAAACACTGTGAGCCATAAAATTAAGGTCCCGCACATTCCATACACTGTATGGTCTGCGTTGCTGTTTAACAAAGACCTACAAGCAATCTGAGCAATACTGGGATGGGATGTCCAGCGCATGCATACAATTCACTTCCATTTTGAGTGCTCTGCAGCTGAGCTGCATTGACTCAGACCTTGTCTGTCATAAGTGGACCCTATGATTACTAGTGTTTACGCAGAACACCAAGAGTATTGAAATCAGAACCACTGAATGAGACTCACAGCCGTTTGGGGCCATCAGTCTATTACATCCAGGTTTGGGAAAACGTTCCATAAGTTAAAGTGAAGTCTAGGAGACTATACCACACCAGAAAGGGATCTTTTCGGGAAAAGTCCATGAAGAATCACAGAGCCTGCTGCTCTAATGTCCATTGAAGTTTCTATCGATTTACACGAGAATAACCAGGAGACTTTAGTTCTTTACCAAATATACTAAAGTTAACAACCATCGAAGGAAAAACCAGTGAACACAGTGGCTCTCTATGGACCAGTGTCCCTGAAGCTTGTAGGTAGGACAATAAACGCTTTAATATCACTATACAGAAGGCATTTCTTTTCGGCTGGCTTGTACCATGTGATAGCAGCCCATCTGCAAGTCCCAGCAGGGCCATGGCAACACAGTTCCTACCAAAGGAGATAATGTGTGCATGAAATTCTCTAGAACGTGAGCAGGAAGGGGAATATGGCCACCATGGTGCTGTCGGTGATGCCGCAGGGAGAGCCACGGGAGGCCGGACCGACTCCCAAAGTCACGCGACTCCCAAACGCTCCAGTGGACCCTCCTTACCTCCGGGTCGACGGCAGCCTTCTCGTCGTCGTCCTCATCCTTTCCCCCCGAGGCGACATGGGGCGGGGTGGAGGCAGGCCGCTGGGCCTCGGAGACCGCACGTCGAAGCTTGATATGTGGCTTCTGCACCTCCATTTCTTCTGACTCTGACTTCTATGCAGACAGAGAGGGTGTTAGAAGAATCGGGGGGGAAAAATAAGGAGGTGAAGGAAGCGGGCGAGTTGTAGGGAGAGGAGGCGCTGCAGAAGATAGCCAAGCCGTGTTTACTGGTCCGCAATAAACCTCGCACATCTCCTCACCTTAATGCTCTTGCTGCTGCCGACTGCGTCCCCACTGCGACAGAGGCTGATCCCCTGTGACGATGGGAAACTGCGACGTGGAGGCGGAGGGGGGGGCGACTTTGAGGGCTTCTCGGTGCGGTACCGCGCCACAGTCAACTCATCTGAACGGGACCGAAGACAGCTAAAGTTAAAACCCGAATCGTGTACTGCAGGAGGTGTGGCTGAACATGGACAATCCCACCGACAGGATGGTAGAGGCTGGCTGGGTGAAGGGTGAAGGACGTCACTGCATAGACACCACCCACTGACGCATCAGATTAGGGTGACCAGAAAGTCCATGCCAGGGAGGAGAATTTGAGATAGGACAGGATTTATAAACTGCCATTTCAATTAAATGGACCTGCATTTCACTTAAGCACTGAGTTCTTGCTGTGTGCTGATTGGTCAGACGCCTGTAATCATCCATGTTGTCACTAATAATGTGAAACAGCTGGATGAGTCTCGCAATCAAGGAAAAAAAACAGTCAAAGCACAAGAAGAACTGAACCATTTAGCGAAAGCCTTTCAGTTTTACAGTTTGTAAAACCTGAAGTAGTTCAAAGTGGATTATCTGGGAACCCTACATCAAGTGCAAAGCTAAGGGAGAAGTTCCTGAAGCTGCCGCTAGCGGCTAGCGGACCACCACAGACACCGTGTGACACACGTGTTATGACCTAAAGAAAGCTGGCAAGTGTTAGCTGGGGTGTCCTTCCTGGTATAGGAGCTAATGACAGTTAAATTAGATACACCTATTGAAGATTAAGGATTCCACACAAGGTCCTACAAGACGATTTGCAGAACTTCCTCGTCACAGCCACAGAAACCCAACCAAACTTCATGTACAGCATCTTAGTGCAAATCCCCAGGAGTGCAAGGCAAGAACCAAGCATTCCTTGAGTTGAGTCCACCATTACTGGGGTTGTCTACAAGCACAGCGACATGAGCTTGCAATATGCATACAGATATTAGCTCAACCCGCCAGTGGGTCGCCTCACCAGAGCCCCGACGCGAGCCGACCTCCTTGCTGGAAAGCTTTTGGGCCGAGTTCTGGGGCTTGCCAGGCCGGTGCTCGGGGGTCGACGTGCCGCTCTGTGATCCTGGTGGGGCGGATGGCTTGATCTGCTTGGCGGCAAAGTCCAGGTCGGGGATGGCCTTCATGAGCTCCGCCTGGGTCTCCTCCAGGAGCCTGTTGATGTCCTGGGCGCTGTATTGGGTCAGGGTGGCCCGCTTCTCCTCCCAGTCACGCTCCGCGGCCTAGCCCATACAGACACACAAAAAGGATTTTCAGCTCTCCAACAAATACAATACCCTATGTCCTAATTAAACCTACTTATTATTATGATGTCTGATCACACACAATCACGTATATAACTTAAGCAGGTATTTTGGTTGATGCAAAAGCCAACATCATACACAAACATAGTCACAGTCAAACCACTATACATGCACACACGGGACAGATGTCCAGTACCAGTCTGACCTCCACGGACACCGATTTGTCCCCGCCCCGGCGACCTGACAGCTCCTCTAGGGCACGGCTCTTGAGGGGCACCGGAGGGTGGGGGTCACGTGTGGCAGCAGGGGGGTTGCCATGGCTGGATCCAGAGAGAGGCGTCCAGTTGGCGAGACTGGAACTGCACCCCAAGTCATTGAGTGGTGGGCTTGTAGGGATGTCAAAGTCTGTGCTCTTGCTGAAGTCCTCCGCATGCTTGGCCAAGGAGCTAGCGATGTCCCCCTGTCCCTTAGAGATGCCTTCGCTCACTTGCCTGGACACAAATCGGTAGTCTTTATAAAGCACCATTCCCAACAGAATTTCCCCAGTGCAATATGCACACAGTAAACGGCTCAAGCAGAAAACTCCAGAAGACAATGATGGAGAGCAACAGAAAGTCTTTGTGTTGGACCAGTAAGCGCCCTTGAGCATGGCCCTTAACCCCAAAAAATGCTCTGGGGTACCAGATAAATGGCAGACCCTGCGCTCTGACCCCAGGCTCAAATGTGTGCGTCTCAATGGAGATTTGGGATACTCAAAAACAAAAGAATTCCTATGTACCTATACAATTGCAAATAAAATATACTGCGTGGCCAAAAAAAAATTGCGCACTTTAATATTTCATTGAACCGCCTTTAGCTTTGATTATGGTGTACATTTGTCAATGTATTGTTTCCACGTGCTTAGGCAGCGTCTCAACATTTTTTTTCCATCCAGATTTCCATTAATTTCTCGTCAAGATCTTGTGTTGAGGATAGGTGAGTTGAACCACTCTCTAAAGTCTTCTTCAGCACATCTCAAAGACTTTCAATGGGGCTAAGGTCAAGACTCTGTGGTGGCCAATTCATGTGTGAAGATGATTCCCCACGCTCCCTGAAACACTTTTTGACAATTCGAGGGTGATGAATTTTGGCATTATCATCCTGAAATATCCCCATGGCATTAGGAAAGAGAAAATCCATTGACGGGAAAACCTGGCCATTCAGGAGATTCAAGTACTTAGCTGACTTCACTTTATTGCTGCATAATGTTGCTGAGCTGTAATAATGATTCAATCATTAGCTCTTAAGTACTTGCTGATTTAAATTCAAACTGACTGTTTGTTGGCCAGGGAGTGTATCATTTCATTATGGTTGGAGTGTGGTCAGAGCATGACCGTGAAACATAAACTGGGCTGCATGGTCACAATATGTTGGTTGAGTATATCTTTGTGGTGCTGTATGCTTTCTACCTGGACAGTATCTCTGACACTTCTATACATTAGCACTGCGTGTTGACATTCAGTGCTCTCCGAGTGTGCATGCTCACTGCACCCGTTACAGACCTGCGCAGCACGGCCAGGGTGTCTGTGATGGACTTGCAACGCTTCAGAAGGGCATCCAGTCGGTGTGGCTCCTCCTTGAGGAACTTCACTGCCTCCACCTCCACTCTCAGCACCACGCGCATCTTGCTCTGCAGGCCGGGGAACTGGCCTGAGGATACAGAGAGAGAGCAAACAGTAGCGCTGGCATGTTTTTCTGTCTCTGTACGCCGCATCTCTAAATGCAGCTTATTCTTGCATGGCAATCTGTCTTCAGGTGGTTCACTGCATTGTGACGTTCTTCTCAACTAGTGTAGCACCGCTGAATAGGGGTGTTTCTCAATACCAAGAACGCAAAGATCGTACTTGTGGTCTTGGCAAGACTGAACTTTTTGTGGTCTTGCAAACCTTTCTTTTAAGAACAAACTTTGGCCGCAATGAATCATGGGATTGGTCTTATTCAGGGAGGATGCAACCGATGTAACCTTGATATCTGAGGATTTTTACCATCCTCTGTACTTCTGTTCTTGAGTATTGGAACTGGTCTTCGGCGATGGATGATGATGTAAAACGGGTACAAGAGGACACAAGTACAGTCAAGTATGCATATTGAGAAACACCACAGTGCTTTTGCGTTTCTGTTAATCTCGGTTTACCTTGGAATGTTCCAGATCATTTCCTGTGTCTCTTCCTACATGAGTGTTCCTATGTGCACGTTACCATTTCAATTCCTGCCCCACATTTTCAGCACCAAGACGCCGGCCTGACAATCTCACTCTTGAGCTCGGTGAGAGTCTCCCCCAGCTTCCTCAGCACGACGGCCTTCTCCTCCAGCTCCTGGGATGACACCAGCCTATGGTCCACAGAGGAGTTCTTCTGAATCTCCTCCACCGACTTCTCCAGGTCGCTGCAAGGTTAACACGCATGTGTGGTTAGCATATCTGAGGTGGGCGCAGATGCAGGCCTGGTGCCTGGCATGGAGACCCTGCGAGAGCCTACTGGGGGATGGAGCTAAAAATATAGCGTTAGCATTTCTCCAGATGAACCGAGAAATGCTAATGCTACGTTGGAGGAAAGACATATTATATTATGTGAATAATTCAATCCTTCATGCTGACATGCTAAAATGCATAAGAATGTGAATAAATCATGAGACTAATTCATTTCTGAGAATTATTACAAATAATCTTGAGTCTTTAGATGAAATTGTAACTGACACGACTCTTGCGCAGAAAGCATTTTAACGAACTACTAGCTATTCATATTTAAAATATATAATGCGACACTGCAATATTTTTCCTTCAATTGCATGTCTGGCAGAAGTCAGATAAGCCTGACAATGTGGCAGCTCTCTAATACAGCGTGAATGTGGAAATGTGACAATATCCTGGGGACGTGTGGAACTGGCCCCACCATCATGTAAATCTCACTCATCAACATCATCATTACTGCTATTATCGTCATCATAATTACCACCATTATTATTATCGTTATAATCATTATTTAAACTCAGGCCTGTTGTTAATGCTCATCTTGCCGTCCCCGTTTCTCGAGCACGGTAACCACTGGGTTTCATTCTGCTTCATTCGCCTGATGGTAATGGCGAGTTCACCCATGGGAGGAGCCTTCCATCTGTCTCCCATAACCAGTCGCCATAACTCAGAGGGTTGGGCCTTTGTGTCTGTGATCGGAAAACTGCCGTGTTGAACCTCAGCACAATCGTCATGTCTCCGCTGGACCCTTCAGTCAGACCCTCAACCCCCTAAATTGTCGAGAGTGTCGGATCAATGGCCTAACCCTACATTTGGACCCCAAGCGTTATTCTCACCTGTCTGTCTGTCTGTCTGTCTGTCTGTCTGTCTGTCTGTCTGTCTGTCTGTCTGTCTGTGTTTATTTCTGTTTATTTCTGGGTTGTAGTGAACCTGGAGCCAAACACAATGCAGGAATCGCCAGTCTATCACAGGGCACATGCACGAAGACACATGAAATGGTATCTGAGCAGGGCATCTAAATCATATCCCTGGATTGTAGGAGAAAACTGGAATATTCTAAGAGAGGTTCTGCAAAGCACACAGACAATCCACAGAGATACAGTAGAGACTCGAATCCACTGCTCTGGAGGAGTGAGGTCACAGTGCCACCTACTGTGTGAATGAGGGAAATACTACAGTCGGTGTTGGGGAGTAACTATTTACATGTAACAGTGTTACACAACTAAATTACAAAATAAATGTAACTGTAATCCATTAGTTACTGAGAAAAATATTTAATGACATTACAGTTAATCAGAATGTTGATCAGTACAAAGGAGTTGCATCCAAATGTATTCAGTAAAAGTTTATGTGTAGAACATAACATTCATTTTGTTGCTTTGCATCTTTTTGCCATGCAGAAATGCCTTATTTCGGCATATTTTCAGACAATGTAGGTCAGCAAAGCCATTGGGACTTTTCAATTTTATTGCCCAATTTAAAGCATTTGTTACAAAAGTAATCAAAAAGTAATTAAATGTAATAACTACATTACTTTGATGAAGTAAGCAAAATCATTACTTGTTACATTTTTAATAGGGTAGCTAGTAATATGTAACCTATTACATTCAAAAATAACCTTCCCAACACCAAGCAGGGATTGATTGAGAGCTGGACTACTGGAACCACAACCTTCACAGTAAGTATCTGTCAGAAAACTGCTTTTTTGGGTGTCCTCTGGAAGATGATCTCAGCAACACTGACTTCTGCATGTCATCTTGCTAAACAATCTCTTGTATTTTAATAGACATCATGGGAATTGCATTCCCATAGTTAAAAAGCAATTAGCCAAACACTGTTATAGATGGGTTTGTGTGAGAACATCTCATATAGCCCAATTGGTTTTCCTCTCCATTCCTTAATCGGGTCTCTGTTACCACAAATATGACAAGTCACATGACCCAGAGTTTATTCAACACTTGTAGGAGTTCTGCTTACTCAAAAACGTTCTGAGGCCAGAACGACAAATTACTGGTTCAGAGAGAGAACGAATTCGATTATAGAGGAGGTGGGACCAACCAATCAGGTGTTTAACTAAAATGCTCATGAATTTATGCAGGATTTAAGGTAGTCTGGGCTAAATGTAAGTGAACAAAGATAAAGGCCATTTAAACTGGGGTACCTTAAATCCAGGTAAGCAAGAAATCTAGCTTTTTGAAATGGGTCCCTGGTACTGCTAAATGGCTTTCCAACTTTCTGTATGGGACCAACTCGTGTGTGACGTCATTCCCAATTCTGAGTTCCGACCTCTGAGGCAAACGGAATGCAGCATTAATCTACAGGCAGATGTGTGTAGAGTTAATAAGTCTATAATCAGACTGGCTCATGAGGCTGGGCTACTCACTGCAGCTGCTGGATAACAAGCTCTTCCTCGTTGAGGTACTTGAGTCTCTCTTCCTCCACCAAGAGGCGCTGCCTCTGCAGGGGGTCCTCCTGCTTGCGGAGGGCGTCCGTCACACGCAAGCTGATCTCCATCTCGGTGCGCTTCAGTAGGGACCTCACCAAGTCCTGATTTTGGAGCTGTGGAGAGAGACGCCGATGTACCACTGATGTCGTCTCCTGCATTGCATCGTCAGACATTCAGCGTTCAACAGAAACATTGAACACCTACAAGCAGTATTTAGGCTATTAAAGGGGGCTACTTTTTCTGTCACATGGCAAAATCCCCACCCCCCAAAATCTATTCCTGGCTACTGGCCTGCAATTTCACCACCACTGAAGTCCAAGACCAGACATGACAGTCTCTGAAACATTCATCTCTCTTCTCTTCACATCAAGACAGCTTCTGAAAGCCAGAGTCTCCTGTTCTGCAGGCTGCAGCCACGCTGCAGGCTCACGATGCCACCAGACACGCGATTGTATTGCAGTGATTAACATACAGCCCTGAATGTCCCTGCCCTTCTACTACCGCTAACACAACCTGAGGGCTTGACGGCGACACTCGAATTAACGTTTATTCCTGAACGTTCACTTAAAATGGGGGAATTTAATGTCTCCCGCACAGGTAAAAGGCCCCTAAAGAACTTTTTTATATAGCAGGACTCATTCAAAACACAAGCAATAACAGCAAAAAGCAAGTAAATGTGAAGTTTATCTGGCGTTTTTAAGGGACTGACAATTTTACTCAAGGTACCAGTACTTTAGACTGTTCGGAGAAATAAGAGGGCAATTTCAGTAATGACTGTGCTCAAGGACTTTATGCATTTTCTGTCTAACGCGCCTCCATATGCAGGTTCTGCAATGACGCAGACCTGTTCACATCCATCTTGTTCTGCTTTCTCTGAGATGAGAATTAGAATGGGGTTATGCGGTTCTCTCTGGGGTTCTGCGGTTCTCTCTGCCCTGTGACATTTTGGTTCTCCCCTTGCAGTAGAGCCCTGGCCAGGCCTGTTGCCGTGGTCCTGCTCCCTGACTGTACCTGCCTGCCGTTGCTACGGATTAGCGCCCATATCCAAACAGCCAAAAGCAAATATTTGCCTTCCTGCGGCTGGCTGATTCGATCAGTTACACACATCTGGCATCAGGTATAATGCTCCTTTTAGATGGTCAGCTCTGTGTGTGTGTCTGTCTGTCTGTCTGTCTGTGTGTGTGTGTGT